CACTTCAAATCAGAATCAAGTCTGTTCAGAGTTGCTGAGCAAAAATACACTCTGAAAACTCAACAGTCACTCTTATATTACACTTTTCACAAGAGACAGCAGTAAATCTGCCATCAAAAGTGAAACTATATGAATATCAAAGATCAGTGATCAGAAAGACATCTAAGATCAAAATACAACAATGCAGCAAATGCTAAGAATTTCATCAAAAGAGATACTGTCTCTGCATCTCTCACTGCAAAAAATGCAGTTCTAAGAATCATGTGAAAGAAAATTCATTCTGTCATAAAAAAAATGAAGCATGTGAATGTCTCAATCACTGCACTAACTGTCTTGAATCACATGCTGCAGATGATTCATTCTGCTCTGTCAGATCAAAGATAAAGAATGAGACTGTTCAAAGACACTTAAAAAATCAGCTGAGAGATATCTGCAATGCACAGAGTAAGACATATTTAATCAAAACAAGTAACAGTAAATATGATGATTGATTGAGATTCATCAGCAGATCTGAAATTGAATGACTCTACTGAGTGTAGATCTAATTTCACACTGACATCAAATACAGCATCAAGCACAGCATTGAGCACAGCATCAGACACAGCATTAGATATGATGTTCAATTCAACATCTAATGCAACACTCAACACATCATCTCACACAACAACACTTTTCTTTCAGCTACTCAATGAAGAAAAACTCTAGATCTTCACAATTTCTGCAGATTATGCAAGTCAATGTAGAAAAAGAGAGCTCAGCACATGAGATAGCTCTTAATTTAATGTTTGAAAAAAAGACTGACATTCTTCTCATACAGAAACTCTGAATTCACAGAAACTTAAGTCAACACATCTTCAAAAAGCATTCAGCATTCAACTGCTTTGTCTCAATTGAAAAGTGAGACAGAAAGTCACAGATTCTCATCTATGTGTGTAAATATTTACAAATTCATGCTCATGCAGTTTCAGACCTCTGAGCAGAAAATCAGAACATTCACATGCTGCACATACAGGTCTGAAGTCTACAGCTTCAGACAGTCAACATATACAATGCATTTTCAAATGCAGAGAATTCTGAACAAGATGTGAGCTGTCTTCTCTTCTGATCTGTCCCAGCACTTCTGTTGCTTCTTGCTAATGATCTCAATATCAAACACTCTGTGTGGCAATCAGAAGTGTCTTCAAGCATGTGGACAGAATCATTTCTGCAATAAATCATAAATTTCAACTTTACTCTCATCATGAACTTAGACATCCTCACATGTGAGCATAACATGATAGACCTGGTCTGGGCCATTTCAGAATTAGTTATCAAAGAAGTGGACACACAGGTGGACAGATCTCTTTATACTTTCTCTGACCATCAGACTCTTCTCATCAAAATCAGCCTTTCACAGAGTGCAAGATCTGTCAGATCAACTCATTTTTTCCATCTTGACATCATGAATGAGAAGGTCTTTAATCAGATGCTGAAGGTCTATAAGTCAAAACTAGACAAACTATGTGATATTTCAGAGTATCTCAATACAGATCAGCTGGATGTTCTGACTAAAGATATCACAGATGCACTAATAGCTTCTCTGAAAAGTTTCATCAAGAAGAGCACTGAGCAAGACACAGATCAGTCATGATGAAATGAGAACTGTCAGAAAGCAGTGACAACACTATATCATGCACAGCATCTAGACTTCAGTTTTTTATGAGAAGCAAAAAGCAATGTAGTCAGAATCATCAGAAAAGTCAAGAGAGAATACTGGTGAGACAAGATAGCAGAGACCTCAGTGAGAAAAGATATCTTTAAGATAATCAAATGAGCTCATTCAACTGGCTTCTTTCATTTCCTCCCTCTTGTAGATGAAGAGACTGGGTGAACATGAACAATCTCTAGAGAGAAAAGAGATCTTCTGCAACAGATACTCTTACAGAAGACTGCAAGCAGAGAGAATATCTCAGTTAGCTGATTCAATCCATCATCTGTCAAATTATCATTTTCTGTTGCCTCAGCACATGAGATACAAAGTTCTCTGCTGAACACAGATAATATCACTTCAGAAACTGATGAAGTGCCTACAGAGATGCTATGAAAGACATGGTCACATATTAAGATATCAGTGGAAAGACTGTTCAGAGTCTGTCTTAGAGTTGACTGACACTCAATCTTCTTTCAACATGCCACACTGGTTGTGCTGTCTAAGGTCAACAGAGATTCAACACTTCTGCAATTCTACAGACTTATAGCTCTTCTCTCAACATTGAGGAAGAGACTGAAATGTCTGATAGCTCATAGACTGATCTGAACAGCTATACAAGAGAAGATTGTCCACCCTCAGCATTTTGAAGCTCTCTCTGAGCAGACTGCCTCAGACCTAGTGACAGCAATGATTCATGATATAGAGAAAGTCTGAGCTCATGAAAAAGTAGTCTCTCTTCTTACTCTGGACATCAAGAATGCTTTTGATGCTGTACTCAGAGAAAGAATGCTGCAGAGATTGCAAGAACAAGACTGACCATCAAATTTAATTAGATGAGTGAAAAGCTTCATGACAGAATGCACAGACAGAATCAGATTGAATGGACTTCTGAAAGAGCTTTTTGATATCTCAGCAGAGCTTTCACAAAGCTCACCAGTCTCACCTATTCTATTTATGCTGTTTATTCAGCCTCTGTTCTTTCTAGAAACTATATAAAGAAGACATGCACACTCAGACTATGCAGATGATTTAGAACTGCTTAGTGCTGGAATCACTCTTGAAGAAAATGTTATTACTCTTCAGAAGAATTTCAAGTTGCTAAATGATTAAGCCAGCAAAGAAGAGCTAACATTTGATTTTGTCAAAACTGAGATAGCACACTTCACACAGTGCAGAATTCTTTCAAACCTCTCAATTGATTTTGAAACAACATCTGACACTCACTCTATTACAGCAAATGCAGTGAAAAGCTTCATAAGATATCTAGAAATCTGACTACATAGAAAACTGAGCTTCAAGAAACATGTGGAGACCATGGCAGCTAAGACATGACAGATGTCTAATGACATACAGACACTAAGCAACACAGCAAGAGGCGTCTCAGTACAACTGCTTAGACAATTCATTCAAATCTGTATGCTCTCTGTGCTCTGCTATGAAGCAGAGACCTGGTGATCTGAAGTCACACAAATGAAGAAGGAAAAGAAAATCTTCAATTGAATGAATTGTCTAGTTAGAAAGCTAGATCTAGCTCTTAGAGATGCTTTGCAAGAGACACTGTCAGTCTACAAGATCACACTCATTTCAGCTTTACATCATAAGCTAGAAATCATGTCAATGAAAGAGACACTAGACAATCAGTGTGCTGTATTTGCAGTAAGAATCAAAAAGCTTGACAAGAGGCATCTGCTAGTGAGACACTCTAATAAAGTAGCTATCATCAAGCTCTATACCACACATCTGTCTAGAGTGTCCAGTCATGCTGATGAAATAGAAGCATATGACCCTCTACTTACATCTTTTTGAATGAGATTTCTCAGGAAAGAAGATCTGCAGATTGAATATGAGGCAGACTGTACAAAGAAACAGACAGCACAAGACTTTAAGAGCTGACTACAACAATGCAATTCTCTAAATCTGATGATCTTTACTAATGATTCACAGATAGAGCACTCTCAGTGTGTGACTGATGCAGAATGAGCTATAGTGAACACTGTCTAATCTTCACAGAAAATCTGTCAATGAATAAAGCAGAGATTTTTGACACAGAGACAATGACAGCTCTGCAGAATCTAAAGAAAGTCATCATCTCATATCAGATGAAGTTTGTCAGCAATGTTTACATTTGTCTAGACAATTTGAAGATAGCATGAGCTTTTGAATCTGTGTCAAACACCTCTAGCCAGCAGATCTTCACACAGTTTCTGAAAGTCATAAAGATCTGACAGAGCAGGAATAGACTCTCATTGATCATTCAGAGCAGAGTGATCATTAGATGAGTTCCAGATCACACAGACATGGCTGATAATGAAAAGACAGATCTTGAAGTCAAAGCAGCTGCAGTGCAGGCAGCAAGTGCAAACATGATACCTCAATCTGACAGCATAGACACTCTAGCTTATATAAAGCAGCACACTATGGAACAAACCACACAGGTCTTTGAGAACTACTGGACCAAAAATCAGCTCAAATGCTATATGAAGCTGGAGATCTCACTAAAAAGAGTCTCAACAAAGATAAAACTTTCACACTTCATATTAGAAAAGCTCTATGCTGTCTGATCAGATCATGAAGACTTTGCAGCCTATCACAGCTGTCTTAAGCATGAAGATGCAGAGTGCTACTGCCAGTGCAGACATAGTAAAACCTCAGAACATTTTTACTATTGCACTTTTGCAAGAAAAGCAGCAAAGCAGTGCTGGTCTATCTACAATCTTCATGAGACACTGACAATCTTGCATGAGGTTCTAGATTTCAATAACTGACTAAGAGAAACAGTCTTCTATCAGAATATCTGTCCAATGTGCTGTCATGCACCTTCAGATCAGATCTCACAGTCCATTCTCTTCTCTGTCTTGCCTCTGTCTTTCTCATCACCTTCTTCTTCTTCCTCTCTCTCCTTCTCTTTCTTTTCTTCCTTGCCTTTCTTCCTATCCACCTTCCCTACCTCCCTCCCACAAATCTAAAACCTCTCAAAACCTCTGCTCTATGGCAACTGACCCATGGGCTCTGCCGGTGCAGCAATACACAACCCCTTTGCCTCATTTGTAAGATAGCTACTAGATAGGTAGTCACCTATGGGCGCAGCTCTACCCACCCTATAGTTCAACGCAGACTCTACTAGATCACATGCCCATAAGGCACGTGGACTAACCGGGCGTTAAATAAAAACACACACACACACACACACACACACACACACACACACACACACACACACACACACACACACACAACCCGCAGCTGTAGTTAAAAGATTTTGTTGCCTTTGACCTCTTGAAGCTTGGAAAGGGATATAGAATCAGCAAACATGGTATGTCACCACTCCTCTGGCGAAGAAATATAACCTAACACATCCATTCCTGACAACTACAAACAGTCCAAAGACTCCTCTCCAAACCACATTCACTTCCACCATCCCCGCCTTGCCGACCTCTTCGAAGACTTTAACCGCCCACACACGTCCATCTTCACCAGTACAACCACCACCACTACCTCTACCACCAACGCCAATCATCCCACCACCGTCACAACTGTTACAACCACCAACAACCCCTCCTCATCCATCCCAGCCACCATAAACTCCTTCCTTCCTGTCGAAGACATCTACGTCTCCCCGCAACATCAACCCGTAAATCCAGAAGATGAAGACGACGTAGTTCCAGACCAACATGCCGTGTTTGGTATTACGTGCGCGATGGATGCGAGGCGGGAGATTGTGTGGAGAGATCTAGGGCTTGGGGAGCTCATGCGTGGAGCGAGGTTGGCGGAGCGGAGTGGCGGGGTTGGTGTTTTTGTGGGCGCTGCTGGTGGTGGTGGTAGTGGTGCTGGTTCTGGGGGGATTAGGAGAGGTGGAGGGGTCCCTGGTGGTGGTGGTGTTGGTGGTGGAGGGGTGAGGAGAATTTTGTGTTTGAGATGATGGCAGGGTTGTGGTTGGAAAGCGTGATGGGATTAGCGATACGAAGGGAACAAAGTGGGCTATTGACTGTGTTCTTCTTAGATTGGGATGGATCTGGCTTTTCCCAATAAGCATCGCGTTTGGTTCTATTGTACTCGAGGAGTTTAGGATGGGGCGTAGGATCGGGAAATGATATGGTTGCCCCGTTATGTTTTACTCCTTTCGTTGTCTAGATCTCTTTGGGAGATTTCATTCCATAAGATACCCAATCCTATGCAGAATACTCGGTTCATAATACATAGAATACATAAATTAACCAGGTTGAACTAAGAAGCCCTTTAATCCCAAACGCCAGGCCTACCAGCTTTGCTCCCGAGAATAATATTCGCTGCACCTAATTCACGAACCATTTCTTTTCAGATCCTGATCACGTCGACCCTAGCTCGATTGAAAACTTTGTGTCCCACTTGCTTCTCATTCATCTCCTCCTCTGTAAGTGTCCTCGGATGCAATCCCATCTGCGCATACGACCCTGGGGCTTTCCTCTTCGACAGCGTCCCAGGATTGATGACCAGAACACCTTCGACCACCTGGGAATTGGCACAAGTTAACTCAAGTTTCCGTAGAGCAACACATAAGCAATTTCAATAAACTAACCTTAACGAAAGGAGGCAACATGCTGGGCGTAATTAACACATCTGGTCGCACGTTCCACCACTCCCCCAACTTCATATAACTGGTATCAAGCATTGCGCCGGTAGCAATACTGCCTTCGAGTCCAGACTTGGGGAGGTTTTCTCTAGAAGTAGGCGGGAAAACAGGAAAGAAGTGTCGCTGTTCGATCAAATATCGTGATAATCTTGTTAGCAAGCCGCCTTCCGACGGCTTGCCTGCCAACACCTCTTCTTGCCTCAATTCGTACAAGACATCGTGAGAGCACATGCCAAATACGTTTTCGTTAAGGGAGAGGGTTACTGGATTGGTGACCGTTCGAGCTTGTCTGGGTAATCCGAGTTCCTTCTTTGGTAACATTTCCTGGGGCCACGAGACGTGTTTGCTGACTGCATCACGAACTGAAGGTATTAGGAAAATTGAAATGCTTGGCACTGCAGAGGCAAGTTGATGCAACGGTGCAGATATGCAGTGTCGAAATAGGGCTGAGAGACTTGCTGTGTCAGGATCAAGTCCTTTTATCTCGGGCAAGTCAAAATCGCCAGATGCAAGAAGCGGATGTTCAAGATCCAAGAATGGTCCAGTAAGAATTAAAGCATCAGCATATTCATTGGCTGCCTTGATGCATAACGTTCTAAGTGGTTCAAAGTCAAGATTATCGTCCGCTGTGAAAGGTCCTGAAGCTATGAGTATATTTAGCACTCGTTCTGTGTCACCTCCCCCAAGTCGGCCGTTTACTTTCCGTATTATCTCCGGCACAGTGACAGCAGGTGGAAGCAAGGGAACGGAAAGCACTTCAAAGACTGTGAAATACTCCCGAGATGCGTTTATTCCTCGAAGGGCAACGATCTGGCCGGGGTAAAATTGAACTGAAGGCAGTGAGTCAACTTTCAAGGGAACTCGTAAACCAGCACCCATTCGCCTTGATGTTTCGAGGACCAATGACGCTGTGTTTAGTTTTCCCTCCATGCTGTCCGAAGCAATCCTTCCAACTGCGATAATCTCCTTGGTGCTTTGGTTGGCTGCGCTGCCAAAGGCAGTATCGTCTAATCCATGATGCTTTTGGACGATAGCCATAAATTCATCAATCCGGTCATCCAGCACTTCGGACGCCTCATTGAGGTGCATTGCCATTGGCTTATACCCGAACTTCTTTAGCTCTGTATTTGCTGTCGGTTTAATACGAGCCTCCTGGTATGGGGCTGTTGGGACCTGTGCCATTGAAAGATGACTGTTTAGCGTCTCCAAGACTTGGCCACTATTTTGCCGTTCGGAGAAAGGGGTTTGTCTGTCCAATTCATCAGATATTTCATTGCATGATATGCATTACGAGAGATGGGATCATTACTGTAATCCGGCAAGATCACCATTCAACAGCCGTTGTGGGGTCTTGGAATCAGCAGGAGACCCCATTCCCATTTCTGCTCTGCCAACCTTGGATGTTGAAGGGTTTCCAAAGGCAGCCTTTCGTTTGGTAGAAGTGCCATTCCCCCCCTTCGTATCTCGATCTTGTGGTGACGGGACGAAATCATCGAGCCTTCACAGCATTAGTACCCAGACCAGTTAAGATAGTAGGTAAAATATCTGCCGCAACCCACATTCCAAATACGGCTCTGCTATTAGCAGCTGCTCGGGGAGTTACTGAAACCGCACTTCGTTTATCGGTATTGCGCACATGGGACTTCACCCGGCTTTCGCGTTCCAATGCATCTTGCACATCTCTCTTAAGTCCTCGAGCAGTATCCAAATTCAATGCTGTCTCATCTGCACCCATCTTCAAACAGTATGCATCCCATTTGTAGGATAGGTCTTGAGCAGACATTGAGTGAAGCCGCATTATCGATTGTAGCTCCGTCGACACATCCTGAGGAACACCGTTCGGGCAGGATCCCGAAAAAGCGTCATTGAGTTCAGCTGCTGTATCATCCATGTTTGGTATCGCCGTTCCACTCCAGGATCCAAGTTGCCGTTGAGTCTTTTATCGTTCCCAATGGCGACCAGAGCCCCATTAAGTTGACGACAGACGGTTGAGAATTCGTTTAATGGGAAGACGCGTTTTGTCACGCGTTTTTTAAGGCTTGGCGTTATTCTTGGTCTATAATTGGCAAAGGTAGCCGTTGATTGGCTGATTACTTTTACCGCCTACATGTGCGGAGATTATAATGTGTGCCAAGGCGGAGAATTACAGCTGCAACCGGTGGAGACTTGGTAGGACGCTGTTTTCTGGAGGAGGATATAAAGAAGACCTTGGCAGAGCACTATTTTTGCTCTGACGGACACTCTGCGAGCAGGGATTGCTTGATTTTGATTTTGATTTTCTCCGTCTTGCTCGTGGGTTCAACCTCCCTTCAGATAACAGTTAGTTACCGCAGAAATGGCCACGGAAGCAAACGTAGCTCCAGCACTGGCTGCGGAAGCTAAGGACGAAATACAGCATGAACAGCCTCAGCAGGAATTTCCTAGCAACGTCATGCCGCAGACCCCTGAGACCATCCCACAAATTGACTTCCTCCCATCATCAGGTGCAGATGGGGTTATCAAGACATTGTTTTCAAGACCCCTGGAAAACTGCAAACCAGTGCCTCCCCTTGAACTGACTCCTGAACAACAATTGAAATACGATTCAGTTCTGAAGACCGTATCCGAATGGACAACGGTCCCTACTACGTCAGCGAAAAATGCTCCTACGGGGCCTATTACGGATGACGATCGCATGTTTCTCACACGAGAATGTCTTCTTCGGTACCTTCGAGCTACCAAGTGGGACGTTACCGGTGCCGTCATTCGTCTCCAGGGAACTCTGACCTGGCGCCGGGAATATGGTCTTGACAAGCTTACGCCTGACTATATCTCGATTGAGAACGAAACGGGCAAGCAACTCATTCTTGGATATGATGTGAATGCTCGACCATGCTTGTATCTGGACCCATCCAAACAAAACACGGAGCAGAGCGAACGACAAATTCAACATTTAGTCTTCATGCTCGAGCGAGTTATTGATCTAATGGGACCAGACCAGGAATCTTTGGCATTGGTGGTAAATTTCAATGAAACCAAATCAGGACAAAATGGAACAATTGGTCAGGGGAGAAAAACGATGAGCATTCTTCAAAATCACTACCCGGAACGCCTTGGAAGAGCTCTCGTTGTCAATAGTAAGATTATCAAATCCAATCCGGAAATATCCCTTAAACTAAGTCTTTGCCAGTGCCATTCTTGATTCTCGGCTTTTTCAAGCTGATTTCCCCGTTCATCGATCCTACGTCCAAGGCAAAACTCAAATTTAACGAAAACCTCTGTGAGCATGTTCCACAAGCGCAGCTGCTCAAAACTTTAGGTGGAGAAGTGGAATTCGAATATGACCATTCTGTCTATTGGCCAGCGCTGAACAAGCTGTGCGAACAACGACGAAACGAATACCACGAGAGATGGGTGAAAGGCGGTAAACAGATCGGAGAGCACGAAAACTACCTGAAAGGTGGACCGGGCAAATGTCTCAGTGAGAGCCAACCACCAGCTGTAGCGATTTAGGAGAAGCTGGAGAGTTTGCAGGTTGGGCTCCCGCAATCCACACCAACGAGACATCAGCCAGCGCTACTGCTCCAGTAGGTTGCGTCTTTTATTCTTCATTGCCCTTCAACAGCACTATAGGGTTGGATTTAAAGGTTTTTCTCTTTTTACCCGATCTCTATACTTCGGATTATGCGTCCATAGATCAGCCGTCGTTTTCTTCGGAGCCTGTAGAAGAGATAGAGCAATTCCAGGGATCGTCAGGTTTGTTAGATACACACAGGGTATATATTGGATGCTAGCATAGTTGTTTTTTTTCATTTATTTTGAATACATGTCTATTTGCCACGTTTTAAATGTAATCCATTCGTTCATTTTCAACAGTGTAGGCAGTGCACTTTTGTGTTGATCACTTTACAAACAGGGGGGTTCTCAAGCTATCAGCAAGGAAGTAGTACCAGTCAAAGCTCTCATTAGAGCTCAAATATATATAGTAAGTTCAGTTTTGTGCAGTATTAGATATCTTTGGTCATTTATTACATTGTCATTATATCTTCAGCAAAAAACAAATGTCCCTTCCTTATGTTGTTGCTGTCTCTCAGGTTATGCGTAGTTTCATGTCAACAGGTTGCCCAACGCGGCGAACTCGCTGCCCAAGCGATCACCACCGCCCAAAACTTTTCCTCTAAAAACGCCACAAAACTAGCTTTCATTTATTTTGCTTTCAATTCTTCTGAATTTGGAAAATCTCTGTCTCAACGCATGCTGTTTCATCGATCTTTGTACGTTGATTTAGCAGGCGATAAGCCATAGATTTGAATAGGAGTGAAGCAAACGATCCGCAGCTATAAAAGCTGGGTCAAATTCGTAAGAGATCAGGATGAAGGAGGGAGTTCGACAGAACGATTATTCACACCTCGAGGTGTGGGTTACGCAGCGGCACGATTAAATAGGATTCAAACGCTTTTCACGTTTCGTAGTTCAACCTTCATTACAAACCGACTTTTGCGCGGGGGTCGGAATATCAATGGTTCCGCGTCCCGGCATCGTATCCCCCCACCTTTTGCATATATCCACCACACTTCTCCCTTCGTTCGCCCGGCTTAATGTCCCTATGCTATAAACTTGCCCCCAGTCATTCCCGAGACAAACATTATATATCTCAGTCGTGCGGGTTTATGCGGTCCTCGTAGCTCTGGGGTATAGATACTTCCGCTCTCCAGCTCTCCTCTGAATGTGTATTCGCAGCTACATGAGCCCGCAACCTCCGTCCAGTCCTGTATTGGCCAAGTCTCATCCTCTCCTTGTATCGCATTTGTCGGACTCTGCCTGCAGGCGATTGCAGCAGTTATCTCTGGGGTGAGCCAGGTCAGCCAGGTGGTTCCCGATTGACCAAGCTCTCTATATGCAGTTGTCATCCACCGAGTCCCGTCTCATCCTCGCACCAACAAGATGACCGATGATGCCCAGGACCGGCCACATCCGACCTCCTCCCCGAGACCTACCAATGTTGCTCCCTCTGTTAGTTCATCGGCAGGAACAGGGTTGACAATCAATCACGAGCCGGGCTTTGTGCAGCCATCTTCTTACCTTCGACCACGCGGTCTGTCTCGTCCAATGACCCCAGCTCAGCCAGAACGAGCAGTTGACCGCGATGAACGATTAGCGTTGGTAGGTACACCATGATAATCTTCCTTAATTTGGTTTTGTCTTTGATTTTATTCCCCCCGGCTTTGGCCCATGCCTGTATTCCCTTTATATCTGAATCGAATTGGGACGCACCTATACAAGTTTTACGTTGGCATGATGGAATCAGAACAGCCCGATATAAAAACATGGACAGGCATTGGAACACATAGTATATATATATATATATATATTTTTTTTAAAAAAAAAAACATTTGCGGAGAAAAAGGGAATAAATTTCTTGTTTCCTTGAGTCCTTGTGTTAACATGGCTCTGTCGTTATCCTACAGCGTGAAATTCGAAACTTCCTTAAAGTGCGCACCAGCTATGACGTCCTTCCTCTCAGCTTTCGTCTGATCGTATTCGACACCTCTCTCTCCGTCAAAGAGAGTCTCAACATTTTGGCACAGAATGGTAAGCTGCATCGCCGTCCAGGGTCGTACCGCCGATCAAGGGAGACTGCATGGAATCTGTCGGCTAATGATAACCGGGGGAACTCCACAGGAATTGTTTCTGCTCCGCTATGGGACTCTACCACTTCGACGTTTGCCGGACTACTCACCACGTCAGACTATATCAATGTCATCCAGTATTACTTTCAGCATCCAGCAGCGCTGGCAAAGATAGACCAATTTCGCCTGAACAGTCTACGTGGTATGTCTCCCATCCTTGCTTTTACTCCTCTATATTATCCCAAGCACTTTTCCTAACCTATTGAATTAGAAGTTGAAAGAGCTCTTAATGTTGCACCACCAGAGACAGTCTCTATTGACCCTGAACGGCCGCTCTATGAAGCATGCCGGCGAATGCTTTCTTCTAGAGCGCGCAGAATACCTCTCGTGTCATATGACTCTCAAACCGAGAGACCGATGGTGGTTAGTGTAATTACGCAGTACCGCATTCTAAAATTTGTAGCCGTGAATGTCAGTGAAACACAAAAATTACGAAAACCATTACAGGAGATAAACCTCGGGACGTATGATGACATTGTAACTGCCACCATGGACACCCCTGTCATTGATGTCATACACAAGTTGGTAGAGCGCAGTATTTCCAGCGTTCCTATTATCAACTCTGAAGGTGAGTTCCCCGATCTTATATTTGTATGTCCGGGAACGCTTCGCTTACTTGGTTGATAGGCGTTGTATATAATGTTTTCGAAGCTGTTGATGTCATAACGCTGATCAAAGGAGGGGTATACGATGACCTGAACCTCGAAGTTGGGGAAGCTTTGAAAAAGCGGTCACCTGTAAGTGCCATCTGGCCTTTTCTGGTGAATTTCGCGTTGACAGTCAGCTTATTACATATTCTAGGCATTTCCCGGTATCTACACCTGTTCTACCGATGACGGGCTTGACACAATCCTAGATACAATTCGTCGGTCGCGAGTGCATCGCTTGATCGTCGTAGATGAGCATTTCCGCCTCAAGGGCGTCCTTACATTAAGCGACATCCTTCGCTACCTCCTTCTTGAGGGTGAACCGGATGAGTCATGATTTAGAAACGTAATGAAATGAGAATGAAGAAACGTAACCTTTTAAGATATGTATTGGATACTGGAGTTTTATTTTAAGATGGCATGGAGTTTAGGAAGAGGGGAAAAAGAAACTCAAGCATGGTTCAAGGATACGGTCATATTGGCTGATTTTGCATATTCCTCTCAATCCCCCTTTTTTACTTTCCTCACGAATGTAAAAGGTAGGGACTGAGATAGGATCTTATATATCCTGTCTACGGACTCGGGTTATTGGGGTTTCTTTTTTTTTTTGTTTTTTTTTTTTTTTTTTTTTTTTTTTTTTTGTTTTTTTTCCTGTTGTTTCCATTTGGAAGTTTGGGGTTTCATGCTGGAATAGAACGGTTTGTGTGTCTGTCTTCTTTTTTTTTTTTTTTTTTTTTTTTTTTTTTTTTTTTTACCTTACCTTTGTTCCCCGTACAATAGATTTAAGCACGTTGAGCCATCTTCGTCTAACACTGCCCCCAATCATTTCTTACTTTCCTTCACTTCTATTTTGCCCGTTTTACGTTTTACAATGGCTAATGGTTGAGGAAACATAGAACCAGTCAGTCCACTTTATTTCAATATTTCCTTTTGAATCACCCCTGCGGTTCTCCTTTTCCTTCTATGCACCGGGAAAAAAAAAAAAAATTACCGGACTACTTGGATATCGTTTTGGTGCAATATCTGCATTCAACTGTCTTGGACAAGTCGGTAACCCTGTCGGTGTTGCGGCAGGCATGGCGGGCTGGGCCTTCCATGAGCATGGGGTTGTCCCTGCCCCGGGTCCCAAGAAAGGGAGATGTATTGTTGATGTGTTTTGTCCGTCTCTTCCTTCAAACTCCAAACACTTCAAACGCCCAACTACTTCTTCCATATTTCTTACTGATTTCAAGTATTCCAAGGTTCATCCGCGGTAATTCACACCTAGCCCTCGGCGGAAGGAAGCTGCGCCAGCAAGAAAAATGGGGTTCTCAGAAGCGCTACGATACCTATCCCGATATTATCACAAAGATAGACGGGGTGCTAGACATCGCCATACGAATTCGACTGCTTCCCCAATGCGGACGGAATCTACCGCCAACGATGCAACACATGTACAAACAAGTCCTTACGTGACGGTGATTCACGTGAGACCGGAAGATTTGGAGGTAGCGGACCTCCTAATTAGGAGGAGGGCTTCAGACCGTCAAATGAGTGAAAGGCGTCCAAGTGAGGGCTCGCCCCAACCATACGAGAGCGAAACCGTTCAGGCGAAGGAAAGCCCCATTGAACCAGAGCCAGCTAAAAAAGCCAGTGCTCCTTCTAAGTCACATTTTGAGCCCCTCCGCATCGAAAAATCGGATAAACACAGCCGAGGCTCACCACTACGTATATCCCAAGTCTGGGGTGATTCTAGAAAACAGATCTCACCGGCAAGCCATCATACGGGCAAGATTTGGGACCGGGGGGACCAAAATCATGAAAAGCCTCCTAGCCCAGCTCATGGCAACAATCGTTGTAGTGAATCCAACAACCTGGAAACGAGCCCTGACCAGTCAACGAGGCAATCTAGCAACCAGACTATGCAATCCGACGGCTCTTGGGCCACTGTCCAACGTGACCCATCGAAACGCTGCAAAAGCCCAATTGCAACCATTGACTCCAGGACTCCCTCCGAAAACAAGAATCCATTCGCAGATAGGCATGCTCTACGGTACAGTTTTGATGTGACTAGTTCGGAGGAAATTCCACAGCCTCATAGGCAACTTAGTTGTGGAAACCGTGAGCAAAATTCTTGCTGCAACAACAGACAAAGTCTTTCGGTATTTTGGCAGTCATCCAGGGGGCATGTTCCTCCTAGAGCCTCGAGCCGCTCATTAGACGAAATCTCCAGCAGAATTTTTTGTGGCCCAGGTGCTCCGCGGAGAGAAAGAATTCGATCCCGGGCCATAATTCGCTTCAATACCTCTGCTGAAGGCTTGGGAATTGTACTTCCCACAAAAAGCGGAAGGGAAATGATAAATTCAGGTGAGAGAGAAAGATAAGATTACATGACTACAAATCACACTCTGACCATATTTGATATATCTAGAAGGAGATTGTATACCTGAACGCTCAAATTCAATTCTCGGTCGTATTCGGAGCGTCAGATCAAATATAGGCTTGAGGCACAGAAACAGTGCTAAGAGGACTCTGCGACGTATCAAAACAATGGCTAACCTGACATTACGGTACCCTATCGACCAATTGAAAGGCAAAAGCTTGGAGGAATTGACACGCCTTGGAGGAAAGAGTTATTTCGACTTACCTGAGAGATACGGCCCTCATGCCCTGATATTACCAACATGCTTCTCTTCAACAATGAATTATCTTTTGAAGTACGGTATGTTTGTTCAATTTCCTGAAACCAACAACATAAAACTAAAATTATCTTTCAATAATAGGGCCCGGTATCGATTACCTCTATGAAGATCATGGCGACAATGAGGTTGTATGTACGCTATATAGTCAGTATGCCGACCAGGTGCTGTCTGCAGAGACGTCAATGGATAAGATTGACAAAACTACGAGAGTGGTCGAACAGCCAACTGAATTGATGCCACCCCCTGGACCAACTTCTGCACAGGGACCTGGTTTTGTACATGATGTTTCCACTGTGTTTTGTCATCTCTTATGTGGTTTGCCTGGAGGTATTCTGGGATCTAAGAACTTGTGTGAAGTATTGCAAAAAATTCAGGAATATGATTTTGAAAACCCTCTGGTAGCTAGAGATGCCGAACGAGGTGGATATCTTCCCGATCTCCCGCTTCCTATGGCAGCCAAAATCCGACTTATTGCGCATGCCCTGGTGGCCATGACAAATGACCTGCAGTTTGACCTTATCTGTTCAGTCTTCGGCCTTCTATCCTTCACAGCTGACGTGAATGCCAAAATATCCAATCTGAGAAATTTTACCACCTGGCTTAAACTCCCAGACTCTAGCTTGATGGCTAAACGGTTTAGCTTTGTTCTTGCGGAACCAAAATCGGTTAGATTAACAGTTGACAAAGATTCCGTTGTGGGAGATCCAGAAATGAATACTACGATGGAAATGGTTATTGACCACTGGAAGGATATTTGTTTGCAGTTTAGAAGGATGGGGATTTTTTAAGCTGGTTGACTGGTTGGTTGGTGTCTGATTTTTGAATTCTCTGTTTGATTTCTTTTGGGGAAATTTCTTTTCTGCTTGTCTTATTCTTACACTCTTTCTTCTATGCACGCAAATGTGCTTTATTACATTCCACTGCATTATAGAATTACGTGTATCTCTGGTCAACAGATCAGGCTTTTGTGCTGGAATTATACACATGAGTTGATGACGGATTCAGCAGCTTTTAATTTCGATTTGAAATTGGGTAACTTGGAATGGGTTTGGTAGTTTGTTCATTAAGGCACTCCTCTATTGTCTATAAAAGCTTTATACCTCCGTGGTTTCGGTGAAGCAACTGCGAGAAAATCAGGAGTTACCACAATTAAGCATTGTGACAAAACATTCCCACCATTTAACTATTTAACTAGCATCGAATTTTACAACTTAGGTCACACACAACTTAGGGTGAATTTCGTGCAATTTTTAAAAAGTATATGACAATGAATGGGACAGGAAAGGTCATAGGAACGAATCCGTCCAGCAGCTGCATAAACACCCATGCATCGTTACAGTCAGGGAATGATTGCCTAGTTACATAAAGGGAACTCCCCCGTAGTCATCGAAATCCTCCTCGTCATCCGTTCCCTGCTTAATTCCTCGAGTCCTTGCATGACGTGCGATTTTCGATCGTCAAAGGCAAAGCTGCTTTAGAAACTCACAGGTTTCTTTATCTCCTTCTATGCATTCCATACATACCTGCAGTTCCGTGCAGAAGAGTAAGCGGTACTTCTTCATCCGTGGAACCGCCATAGGCAATGCAGAGCTTAGCAACATCTCTCGTATCTCGTTCAATCGAAACCGGTGCATTTGCAATGCGCTTCAGCGTTTGCAAGGGGGCTCTTCAGAAACTGAATGGTCTTCACAAAATATCGAAGTATTCGAAGCAACCCAGTAAGTAACCTTGCGGTGTTGACTCTAATGCGATGGCAGCGACTGGTCTTCGGCCTTATCAGAGTCGCAAACATAGGCCAATTCGTTTAAGAAATTTTGCCTGCAATCTCCGGCAGGGTTATCTGTGGACGTCGATAGTCTCAAGCTAAAACCAGGACGGATTTTTCCCCTGTCAAGAGAACATCTGTTTCAAGAGAAATATGCATAGTAGATCGATTATATCCGTCTGTTTTCACATTATTCTATGCAGCTGTATTGGGGTTCTTGAAGAAATCATAGATGTAAAATACATATCAATACTCTATCTCCATGAAAGAAGATTGCCGCAAGAAGGGCCCAAAAAAAAAAAAAAAAAACCAAGGAAAAGGAAAAGAGAAGAAAAAAATGTGAAGCAGTGCCCGCTTCATGTCATTCTCTTTCTTTAACACAAGTGCACATGATTAGTCTTCATTTTGAATTGCACACCTCTTCCTTCTTTCTCTCCACCACCTCCAGATACTTCGCCCGCACACCATCCTTATACCCACACTGACGAACAAACTCGTCGACAGCCTTGGGTGACCTCCAGTTGCTGCGCGCATATTCGATGATCTCCTTCTCGCTGGGGAGGGCGAACCGCTTATGCGGATACACCTTGTAGTCCGTATCGGGGTTCAGGAGTGTCATTCTCGATTCGCCGGGATCAATGCGGAAAAATTCATCAACATCCTCATCAGTGACCTCATGTAACTCAGAAGGTTTCCAGACCGGCTCCGTGGGCGGTTTATTGACCAAACGAGCAGTGACACCCTCAACGAAGTCGGGATGAGCCATGAATTTGGCCGCGATCTTCTGTTCACGTTGGAATGTTTCAGCGATAGACCATGTACGGCCAATGCGAAGCTGGCGGAGAGTCACTTTTAGAGAGGTTGGAGAGCGGGAAGCAAGTGTTTTCAGTGTTTTTTGGGCCCATTCCCTGTTTGTTTTCTCCTCTTGGAGTCTGCTTATAATCTCTTCCACGGTATTTGCGGAGAAGCAACGGTCAATGGATTCGCGGAGGCTACCTGAAGGGAAAATTGGCTCCTCTTCTAGTGAAGGAAGACCGGTGGAGAATTCGGAAATGGTGCTGTTGACCAAGTCGAGGCGCTCGCCTAGGCTAGCGGTGTCCTTGAAAACAAGCTCAGAAAGTCGTCCGGTTAGGTTGGCGAGAACACTAGAATGGAAATAGTGGGTAGCGATGCCGGCGTAAAGAGTTTGCACTCCAGAGAGCCGTTCGGATGTCAATGCCAAGTAGGTTCCCAGTTCGCCATCAAGACGTGGCAAGAAGAAAGATCCCCCAACATCGGGGAAGAAACCAATGGTCGTTTCGGGCATGGCAAAGACGGTTCGTTCAGTCGCGATCCGGAAAGGGGCATGTACACTGAGCCCCACCCCCCCGCCCATGGTGAAGCCGTCCATGATGGAAATGTAAGGCTTGCTGTACGTAGCAATGAGGTGATCGAGCCTGTATTCCAGAGCAAAGTAATCTGAAGATTTCTTCTGGCCTTCCGGCCCTTCAGAAGCTTGTTGAGCAAGAGCCGCAACGTCACCACCAGCACAGAAGGCCTTCAATCCAGCTCCGCTGATGATGATAATGTTGGCAAGCTGTGATTTTTCCCATTCCTGTATCCATTTCCTCCGTTATCCAACTTGTCCCAGAAAACTGCAGGAATCTTGCAAGACATATAGAGCATTGCGTACCTTCAACCTAGGCACAATCTTCCTTGCCATCGATCCATTTAGAGCGTTCAGTTTCTTGGGTCGATTGAGCTCAATCGTGCGCACACCAAAAAGGCTGTTGAATAAGACATCGTCGGGTTCATCTTCAGGAAGCTCTTTTGGTATGTCCGCTGTCGCCGCTGTAGACATCTGTATGGCACCCGAAATTTTAGAAAAAAATAAAAATAAAAATATTAATATTAATAACTAGCCACACAGCAATAAGTACGCCTATATTATCAATTCCTTACCTTCGATAACCCAGACCATGCCGGAGACGTCACTTTGGCTGTCAATGGCATGGCAGCTCTGGAATGCCGTGAGAACCAACTCAACGGTGTGGAGGACTGGGGGCGGCAAAGTCGAAGGAACATCAATGGCGAATGCTTATCACAAAGGCAATTGAACAAAGTTCCTATAGACATACACATGCACAGCGGATTGCAGGTAGGATGTCGAGTGGAGTTAGTTATATTACGGTAAACTGTATGTATGTCCAGTCTCTCGTTGTTGATGACGCCGGAAAAAAAAAAGTTGGTTAAATCCACTGGTTAGTTATTTTACTCCCGACTCGGCTTCGCGTCATTTTCTGCACTTCGGTTGGCCTCGGGGTAGTAGTAGAGCACAGCGATTTGGCTGGCATTTACGGCAGCAATTATGTATATTTACTACATATACTATACGAAGTCCAAATAGTTGTAGATATAAGTGAGCAGCAATGGTGATAAAGTTGTGATTTTTCTTTCCAAGAAAATTACGGGCGGGCAGTTTCGTGATGGACCAGGGAGTTGACCTCACGCTTTCGCAGTAAATATATATCTTAATGCCTTGATCATTTCCCAAGATCAAGTTAAAAAAATCAAAATTGAAACAATAAGAGGACATCCCAGTCGCCAAACTATGTTACAGTCAGATATCTTTTATGTGCAATATATTAAGCCCGTGCAGGCTTCGACTTAAGGTCACTAGAATGCCAGAATAGCATCCGATCAAGGGCCTGCTTCTCCACGATTAACCGGGCCGTTTCGAGCAGATCCTTCACATCCACATCCTCTCGATCCAGTACTCGCCCATGTCGGCTAATTTCTTTCACCCCCATGAACAACCGTTCCTTCTTGACCTCAGTAATCAGCAACGAACGTCCAAAACTCTTCCCCCACTGGTTTTTCTCGAAAACGTCCTCCAGCCAGTATGGGCTAACATCGCGCGGGAAGGTAATGTTATCGTTCACGATAATCAGCTGCCCCCGTTGATACCGGTAGCTCAAAGCTGTCCTCCATGCCAGATCGTAAATTTTCTTTGGTAGCTTCGTAGAGAAGTCTCGAGGATGGGGCCCATGGGCAACACCACCACCTCTCAGCATTGGCGATTTTTTATCTCCAAGTCGAGCTCTTCCAGTCCCTTTCTGAGGGCGAATCTTCCTTCGACTGCCATGAACATCGTCTCTCCACTTTGTACTAGCGGTACCTTGTCGGGTCTTGTCACCCTCATAGACAATCGCACGGTGTAATATGTCCCGACGTAAAGGTAGTAGAAGATGCTGAGAGCTGTATTTGAGAAATCTGAGGGGTTCCATAGTCGGAAAGTCGTAGAGAGTCGCAAGTGCTGGCGGGGGATTCCACACTGGCTTCGGTATGTCATCGGAGTTCGAGGTTTGCCCGGCAACATGCGCACTTGCGAACGCAGTCAAAGGAGAAACGACTGCAAGTTCCGTTTCCGTAGTCATTGACCGTGATATATGCTTAGGTACACACTGCTGTTTATTCAATTAGCCTCGTCGCGAGAGAAGGGGTCAGTTATCATACAATTGCTGGAGCAAAGTTGCTAGCAAGTCCACGCGTGAGCCATCTCAGCGGCCCCAACGACTTGCTCCCAGACATTGCGAGGATGGTTTCCCACACAAATCGAATAGAACGACGCTGTTGGCGTATTCTGTAGAGAATTGGCCGTTGGAGGGGGTTTCTGCAGATTTTAGATTTTGGATCTCGTCCGATTTGGCGCTAGCCGCAAAAAAAAAATGAAAGGTTGCTCACAAACCCAACCTCCTCTGACTGCTAGAAAACCCAACATCCACCACGAAAGCCACCACGCTCAGGACCACAAACGAATATCCATCATGACCCATTGCGAACTGACCTCGAGGCTACTGTTCCAATGTCTACGACACACATACAAAAACACCTTTCCCGCAGGGCAGCTCCCGTTTAGCCGCTCCTTCTCCTGTACCCCAGCGGGCAACGAAGAGGCTCAAACGGAAACCCGTCCGAGCCAGCCTTTCTACATAGCTCCTGATCCAGCACTGGTAACTAGTCCTCGACTGGAGCGAAGACTTCTACGGGCAGGTAATCCTCCAATTGGGTCTCGTCGACGTCGCGCAGCGCTCCAGGACTCGCCCAATATCCCATTTGAACTTCTGCCGTACCAATGCTTCCAGGAGGCTCGCAAAGTCTTGTTAGAGGATAGAGAGGAGAAAATCAAACAAATCGAGACAGAACGTGGTAGAATAGCGAGATTACGTGCGGCTAACCCTGCAACAGTTGGAAGAGAACTTCAAAAGAATACCCGGCTCAGAAGCATGGAGAAGCACTTGGAGTATCTGAAAATTCAGGCAGATATCAACGATCCTGTGATTAAGAAGCGATTTGAGGACGGCCTTGGTATGTTTACAAGGATCCTGAATTGTACTACTGGAATGGGAACTAATAGTCGTTCGACTAGGTGATATGAATCGGCCAATATATCGCTTCCTCGCTGATAAAAAATGGAGAGAATATAGACGCAAGATCATCGTCCAGCGTATAACTCAAATGAAAGTGGTTCCCGATGTGCTTCCACATCTAGACCCTATAGTCGATGTGAAATTAGCATTTGGGAGGCGAGTAATACCTCCTGGAGAATTCGTCGATTCTCGAGTCAGCTCGATCCCAGCCAAGCTGAACGTCCAAAGCTTTGAGCGAGGCGAGAAACTGTTGACAATTGCTGTTGTGGATTCGGATGTCCCCGATCTCGAACACGACACATTCGGGTTCCGATGTCACTTCCTTGCCATTAATGTGCCGATCTCGCCTAACGAGCCCCGGATATCCTTGGACAAGCTCTCAACAGACAATCAGGTCATTTTTACGTGGTTTCCTCCTTACGCCCAAAAAGGAAGTCCGTATCACCGTCTCTCTGTCGTTGTGTTGGAGCAAAAGGATCAGGCAGCTTTGGATTTGAAGAAGGTGGCAGAGAAGGTGCAGCGTGAAGACTTCAGCCTTCGAAGCATACTGACGCGACACCAGCTAAAACCCATTGGAGCACATCTATTTAGATGCAAATGGGACGAGAACACCGAATCTGTGATGAACGAGTTTGGTATTCCAGGCGCAGATATCGAGTTCCTGAGAAAGAGGATTGAACCTCTGCCATACAAGAGAAGGAACCCATCCTCATTTAGATAGACTATTTTGTTGTTCTTGCGTGTTTATGTCCATTGGTTTTTTATGGAATTGTTACAATATATTGTATAGTAGCTTTATAGTACACTTGATTTTACAATTTACACATCCCAAGAAAGAATGGCAAATAATGAACTCCCTTTCCAACTCCAGCCAGCAAATGCAACACTCATTCGTCCGAAAACTTAGCAGGTTCTAAGGTATTCCGTGCCCATCTAGGAAACGAATACGATTTTCCTAGTGCAATAACTTTACCAACCACCAATCCTAACGGGATCGGTCCGTGGAATCTCGAGTCCCTCGACCATGGCAAATTATCGCCAATAACCCAGATATGGCCTTCGGGGACCTAGCATTCACCAAAAGCAGTCAGAAACAGTAAAACAGCAACATTGCCTGGAAAAATAAGCAGAAGAATAGAAGAGAAAGAAGCAATTTCTAACCCGTATCATCTCTGCATCCTCGCACCCCTTCCCGTCATCCCCAGGCGACGGTGCATCCTTCAACACGAAGTCCCCCGGCATGCCCAGCACCCGCTTGGTCGACGTCCGCCCTCGAAAAAGTGGACTCTTGAATACGACCAGATCCCCCACCTCGAGCCCTTTTCCGTGCTTGTGAAACTTAGAAATGAGAAGCCATTGGCCCCGGTAATTTATGCTCGGGTACATAGAGGGGCCGGAGCAGGTTTGGTAGGAATAGCAGTGCTCATTAAAGAGTTTCCCGCCCCCGAGAACGGCCAATCCACCCAGGACCGTGGGAACCGTCCGTTTTATGAGCTTGATCAGGATGCGGCCATTCATTGAGGCGTCTTTCGGCGGATTACTCGCATCTTCTGGTGAGGTAGAATCGAATCATGGAATCAATTTTGGTGCTAGTGTGCAATTATTGGCTAAGTTAGTTAACTATGGTTGATTGACTGATTGGCTGACATAATATTACATCTGAGAGAGACACGGGAAAACGTTCTACCGTTTCCTCATTGTGATGGTTTTCTTTTCTTTTCTTTTCTTTTCTTTTCTTTTTTTTTTTTGAATTCCAATGCCTTTTCTTTTCTTCTTCACAACCCTCAATTCTTTGACAACACCAAGTCGAATTGAAATTGATGTCCCATTATGTCGTTTTATAACCTGGAATCCCTATGTTTGATTTAAACGACCTTGATATGCTGGACTTCCGGACTCAATGGCGCGAATTATTCTACCTGTCCCAGCCAATGAGCCTTCTGTTGAATATAGGCCACACGACCCTTCTGGTGAATTCTTCCCCCACTTCGCTGCGGCCCTTTAAGACAACCATTAGATGAAATACTTCTTCCTACACAGCGTTGGCAGTTTTACCATTTGGTACAGCTATAACCTTCACCTATTAAGGGCCAACCTCCATGTTCCCTATTATTCCCTCCACACTAGTTCTGGGACTCTTAGTACCGACGAGCCTAACATCCGAACTTACTCTTTCCCAATGCCTCGGAGAGACTACAAAAATCTTTGACAGAGGAAGAAACGCTTCTTTAAAATGCTAGAGCCTGTCGTCTTCATAATACATCCCAGGTCGTTCAGGTGTGGACAGTGAAGCAATATTACAACTGTATGTCTCTTTTTGCCGTCAAAATGGCAGAGATATCCCCGAACGCCAGATTTGACTTCTGATCCATTTAAGTATGGATGGTGAGAAGCTGAGTGGGCATGGTTGGGAGACATTCCTTTCCTACATAGACAATCATATTATTTTTAGATTGCTATTGATTATTATCATTTCACTACTTTTTTTTACTTCATTTACTTCTTTTGAGTGCTGTCATGACATTAAGACTCAAGCGTTCAAAATTTGACCAAGCATTATTGCCCTACAAATTAGACCATTTTAACGTCATGACAGCTTCTGGCCAGGACACCAGTTGGCTTCCAGGTTCTGAAGCTTCGTTTTGAGCGTCTCCAAACCAAAAACACCTCAAGCCCACTCCTCTTCTATGAGGTCTCAAGTCTCAGCGCACCTATTTCTTCCACATGGAATCGGCATCTGCCCGTAAACTTTTAGTCAATATCAATTTCACAAGCCTTCCAACAGCGCATAACACTCCAACTTCGCCTTGCCGCTAGGAAGCGCCTTGTTCAATGCTTTATCGGACGTGACACTAGCCATCAATTGGGGCGGTAATTGGTCACTCCTATTGATCTGCCACAGATGATATACCTTGTAAAACGTGGCAAGCTGCGAGAGCTCAATTTTTTGGACTTATTCGAACTTCGCACTCTCAGTGCCTGGTCAATCGGGTAATAGATAGGAAATATGGATGGTTAGCTGATTGATATTACACCGTCTATTCCATACTCCTCACTCCTTTCATTACCTCACTTAGACAAAAATGGATAGATGAATAAGATTCCGTGAATAAAGCGGTTCACTTTATTGTAATATTTGGTAAAGGGGGTATTAGCAATAGCCTACTCTTCACCTCATATTCGTGCAGATGAATGCCAAAGCAATTGCTCCTTTTCTGGCAGCTTTTCATGTAGTTTCTGAGAAATCATATATACTCGATGCCAATGAGCCGCTCTCCGGGCTCAGGGGATTCACAAATGATACACTTGCGCATATCTGAGGTTCAACTCGCAGTTAGCCATCCAGCCAGCGGAGTAGCGGCAAGAGAATTTCGTGAGAGGCCAGAGTTATCTGCACATATGCCTATGTGCGCCGTTGTTCACCTTTGTACAGTATAGATTGGCTTCAACACAGTGTGTGTCGCATAGAAGATGTGCACACACTTTGTTGATCAGACCCAGAGTTTGAGACATGATGAATGATGAAGTGTGAGTTTTTCTCCTTCTCTCCTTAGTGGTAGTTACTTTTTCTCGTTGACCGTTGGAATATTATCGCGAATAGCTACTATTTATATTCAGGGTTTATTACCCCTGCCTTTAGATACATTCCACAGGAACCGATTGGGATATGTATGTCCAAGTATTTTTCAACGTTTGATGTCACCATGAGGATACATGTAGTGGACTGCCCATCATTCACTTCACTATGCAGAATACAATACCGAGGAAAATAGACAACACCAGCCATAACAAAGTCATTGGGTATTTGATTTGAGAACACCAGCCATTACATATTTCAAACACATTCCTTTAGCACACCCAATCCTATATGTCTTCTTACAACATACATGCATGCAGGCACAGCCCAAGCACAAAAATAGACCTAAATAAACAAGCTTTAAAATATATAAATCCGTATTCACCCCTTTTGATAATCGAGCCAGTATTCATTTTACATATTGTTCTTCATCTCCCGCAGGGTATGCATCACATCAACAGGATCCGTCTTCTGCGTCGCCTTTTGGATTTCGGGGTCCTAAGAGATGTAGAGTTAGACATTATGTGGCAAGTTGGATTGAGTACTAGTCTGCGTAAGTTGGAAGATGAAATAACGAGACGATAAAAGAAGGATTTACATTGACCCTCATGAACACGTTATGTAGCTGAAAGATAAGAGCGTCAGCACATTGACTTTCCATTGATGTTCTTCAATAGTAGGGCCGCAAAAGGCCAACTGAAATAGCACCTTGGAGAGGTTAATACAGACATACCTTCTCCTCACCCATGGTGAATTTGCCCTGGGTCTGCTTATTCTCCTCCGCAAACTTTTCTAGCTGTCTGATTGGCTCTGTCTGAGATACTGAAATGCAGAATTTCACATTCTGCTTTGTATATTCGTGGCCGGGCTGTGTTAACAGGTTGGGCCAGTTAGCAGAGGCGTATGCATTCAAACATGAGTCCCCTATTCTATTCGTTTAAAACAGGATGCAACCTACATAGATCTTAGTATCATCCGGAAGATTAGCAAGTGTTTCATTGAGCGCGGTATGCATCTGTTGAGCAGTTCCTTCGAAGAATCGTCCGCATCCTACAAATTTATTATTTTATCAGTTCCAGAAAGTAATAACACATATCAGGTAAGGATGTATGAAAAAGAATATATATATATATATATAGTTTACTTTGGAGCCGAAGCAAAATCACACATGTATATAGATATATAGATATGTCGATATAATACTTTAATAAGATGTGCTGTACATACCTCCAATGAAGAGCGTATCCCCCGTAAATACGACGCGCTGATCCCCATCCTCCGCGAAATAGCAGATGCTATCCTGGGTATGGCATGGCGTATGCAGAGCGGTTACCTTAATACGCTCCCCGATTTTGAATGTCTCTCCGTGTTTAGGAGTTTTGGTGACGGACTGACAATCTTTTCCCCCTATGATAGGTAACTTTCCGAATTCTTTGAGCTGCATGAACACAGAGTGGGCAAGTAAGTTGGCTGATGGTTCCTTATTTTCTTTTTATATATCCATCATATTTCGTGCAGTGGAATGGAGTTGGGTAGCTTACAATCTTATCATTTCCACCGGCATGGTCGTAGTGACTGGAGAGAAATTTAGTTCCTTAGTGCGTACTATAATACAACTGGAGGTGCAGATACTGACTGATGAGTGTTTATGATTGCTTTGAGGTTAATTTTACCGCTATCGATATGGGATTTCAGAACCGGGATGGCTCTATAAGAGGATGTTAGTGTGAGAAAAAATGGGAACAGCATCTCAGTATGCATTTGCGCTACAATAGTATAGTTACCTACTCCGGAGGGTTTGCAGGGTCCACCACCATTGTTTCCTTTGACGGCTCGTCGGATATCAGGTAGGCATAATTGTTGCCCGACCCGGTCCCTATCGTCGTTGTTTCATTTCAGCTCCTTGCTATTTATCATATAACTATATGGGGGAAAGCTTACACATGGGAATAGATTCGATATGCATTTTGCGCCTAAATATTGATACACCGGGGGTTAACAACCGATTGAAGGCCCTGCTTGCGATCATGGATTTTGGAGATTAATCTATTACTGATGTGATCTAATGCAGTAGCCTCCTCGTTGATTGCTTCGTAATTATATAACTGGTGCGGGGGTTTGTCTGGATTCGATGCGAGGGATGACGTTGAAATGTGCTCAACCCTAGGCAGGTCTTTCCGATTCGCCCCGGCTATTCTTGCCAGTCTCCCCGCAGTTAGGTTGGTGCAACTGTTAGTATTGTTTTTGATTGGTGGCCGTTTGTTGTTCTTCTCCAAAACGTATATATCTCTATGAAGTAATAGGTCAATGGATAATTATATTCGCAAAAAGTTGAAACCTGCTGATATGGCCTGTATGTTTGATATCTTTCACATCCTACTACCATGTTTGACCTCCAAACTACACAATACGCTACATATCTTGGTTCAGATTTATATTAGTGCTCTCTTATTAATGGATACATGTGTTCTTTAGACAACACCAATGGATTTGTACCTCCAGCTTCCGTCTATATTCCATCCACAGCTTCGCAGTATATTCGAGTCTGAGTCTGCCTGCATGTCCGCAGCATCAGGAAGGGAGCCACCCTCCGTCCCACTCACAACTGCATCATTACCTTTCCCTATCTCTGAAGTAACGTACCCGCCGGCTTCCATCTGTATGTCTGTATCCAAGTTATGTGAATATTGATCAACTGGTGATCGAAGATGGTCAACCCAATAACCTGAAGCATCGCTACAGACTGCATTGACGTAACACATCGAAAGGTTCAGCTTTCTGACTGTAGCCCATGAGTTTGAGTTTAAAATGTGACGCAGCCATAGATATACAGCCTCCTTATACGGATCTCCCTCCGAGGCCGTGCTATCCGAATCGATAAGGACACGGGCTAGCTCACCGCTTAGAACGGTGAGAAACGTTGCATGTTGTTGACACAGTTTTTTTAAATATCCATCCCATGTTGAAAACACGGGCTCCATTGGATTTCCAAGGCTGAACCAGAGCATTAGCAAAACAGGGCTCGATTTTTGTATGGTGTCTGAAATACTAACGTCCTGCTGGCTGGAACAAGAAAACCCTCCTCTAAAAGCACTTCAACAATAGCCCCTTCTCCTTGTTGGCTGCAAATCGATGTGAGATTTTCTAGCACCCGAGCCGACTCTAACATTCGAGGTCGTTTCCTTTTCGCAGAGTTCTCGCTCGAGCGAAATACTACAGTTTTCAACGACTGCTGTATTACGTCCTTCACAGATCGAGAGCCATCACTGAGCCCTGGAGCACCAATACCGGGGTCTGCCGTTGCGATATCGGGCAAACCAACCCAGTAAAACTTCCAGAGCCATTGCAGGGACCGATGAGCCGCATTTCGCAGTACAGAAAGCGATGGTAACTCCCTATGTGTCGCCTCGTGGCGTAGTTCCACAAACGAAGCTGGTAAACCGAGTTCAGTTGCCTTTTGGAACATAGTCTGCTTCCTTCCGTACAATTTCGAGTCCACTAGTCCGGTAACAAATCTGTGTTGGAACAATTAAGTAATCTACAAACTTACGGGGCGGACAAACGGACATTACCCCAAAAAGGGAACCACTGATACTGGGGTTGGAAATAAAATAACTTGTAACCAAAAATTGAAAGATAGAAGTAACCCACCTGCAAAACGCTGCCGAATAAGTCGCCCGAATAGAGAAAATGGAATTTTTCTTGGCATCATCGTGTAGAATAGCATCTGTTAATAGTGCAGTTGCTTCCACGGAATGCGGCAGGTTCCCGCGCAGTTTCCAGACCCAAACCTGAAAAGAGAATAGGGTGATAATATGTTAACATTGACAAATAAAAATCACATACACAAAACCGCTTTTAGAAATATAAGACCTACAAGTGAGCATGCTTTGGCACGCATGTCTGCAGGTTCCTCAGAAGTAGAGGGGTAAAATTGGCTGCGAATGGCCAGCAGCTCAGACAACTCCTTCCACGGAGTAAATTGAAGCCGTGGCATGTTTGACTTGGAACCGCTTGACTGACGATAATGTGGAAAAGTTAAAAATAAAACCTAGGATAAACACGGGCAGCTGGAAGGGATAATAAAGTGTTGTAAAAAACACTGTCTTGTGCAACAGCCATTCGATCTGGACTGGCTTGTATGATGCGGTGGTTGAGAAAGCCAGAAAGGAGCAGATATCCTCAGGCTGGATTGTTACCATACAGCGTTCATAAAAGTTTTCTGTGTGGGTTGTCCAAACTATCTGATAACGACTAAGGAGAAATCACCAACGAACAAATAGCGAAGAGCCACGTACAGTGGATTCTCAGTACTCCCGTATATAAATTGGAACCAAGGTCGGCTGCCCCGTTTTATGCGCGGGTCAATACCAACGTTATTGATATTGGAATATATTTGTCGTCGTCATGAAAACCTTTGCAGTGGGATGAGGCGAAATTAAAGTTTGGGCTAGTTCTGATCCCAAATGCTTAATTGTCAACTTAGCCAATCAGAGCTCTCAGAATGACATCAGACTTTGACATCGTCAAAGCAAATCGACTTATTGACACCATTGCTTATTTGGCCAGAGATTATTTCTTTTGTTGTTTTATATAGAATTGACTTCCAGGCTTAAATTGTTCAATCAAAATTGCCGCTCCTCTACTATAATCAAAGCCAAATGACCTCTTCAGAAGTTAACAGTACAGTACATGGTTCCTTCGAGGAAAAATATATGTCTCATTTGCAAGGCTATGCCTGATATGCTAAGTTTTCACCCATCATACCCAACCGTTCTCAAGGCCGCCATAGGGCCGCCTTAGCATATTGGTCGGATAATTCATTGGTTGTGTCACTTTTGCCATGCTGAAATCCGGGTCTTGCTCGTGCTCAAAGAAAAACGACCTGCCAGCCATATCAAGTTGATAGACAGGGCTAGCCTCTGGATCACATGGTTGAGATGATAGAACCCAAGGCTCATTGAGGTTAACTTGGGGATAAGGTATTGCGAAGGGGCTGTGGGACCCTTGCGTCGGGAAAACGACTCGGGGTTTGAAATCCTCTGGTGTCTGTACTTCATTCTCCCCATGGTTTATCTCTCGATAGTCGTCACATTGTCCACTTCCCTGGTTGTGTTCTTTTTCTCCTTCCTGTTGGCTTTCGTCGTCGTCGTCGTGACCACCGTCATCGTCATCATCATCGTCTTGCGAATCTTTCATGGTGGAAGGATCAAATGTTTCTTCCAGCTTCAGTCCCTTACCCCCCGCGCGTTGCAAACACACGGGCGAGTCCCCATCCCTCCCCAGTCCCAAACAACCGGGGTCAGAGTTGTCCCATGGTGGAACTCCCTCTGGTTCGTCGTACAGTCCAACACCAACAAGTTCTTCGCCGTGTTCATCACTATCAGGAATAAGAAGAGGAGTGTTTGGTTCATTTTTAAATTGCTGAATAGGGAGAACGTTCGGTGTCGACAATGCTGTTTGAGACGTGGAGCTACTATATGTATCATCTGCTAATGGCATTCCGTAGCCTGCTGACGATATCAAGTAGTTTGTAGGTGGGTCTGAAGAGAGAGATTCCATTACATTGATGGAGTTGCGATTGGAAGTATCCAGGGGGTAGTGTGGGTATGCAACGTAAGAAAGTGATTGATCGTCAATGAGATTCAAGTTCTGTTGTTGAGTGTAGAATCCGTTGTCGTCGAGATATGTTGGAGATATGGGCACCTCATTGGTCTGATACACTCCATCCTGCCATGTATGTGATGGCCGAGGATTGCGGTGAACAATGTGAAGTAGCTGATATGAGGATAGCGAGCTGATCGGTCTTTCACCTCGGAGAGGTCTGAGTAGAGTAGAACGGAAAGACTCGTTACGCATATTATGTTTAACAGTGCGGCGCTGTCCTCCACGGCAGTGATTGAACATCATATCTCGCTTTGCAATCAGATTAGGGCCGTTGTCAGCACTTGCTGTCTTTAAGATGCCATGGGTGGTACGTTTTCGATCCGCCATTTGGGCTCTATCGACGTTAGTTAAAAATGGAATGTCGTTCGGCGAACTCGCAAAAGAAGGTTGATACCAACAACTGTTAGCCATGATGAAGGAATGTGATTCATGAGAAATGCAGTTGAAGCTTGAATAGGAAGATAGGCGAAAAAAATAGCGGCAAACGGTTTAAATATAAAGGTTGCTAGTACGTAATTCACTTTTCGGGTTCGGCAGATACAGAGAGAGATATACAATGGCACGGGTGTCCTAGACTCCTAGGTAAGTCAAAAAAATCCACTAGTTGTGCAAGGCTACGGATAAGATTTAAGGTGGAAAAAGTCTGCGTAGAACAGATCATTTCTGGCACAGGAGATCTGTGGGTTTGAGAACATCGTTGCATTATTGCCATAACCCGCTTGTAGTTTGGCCAAGGCAAGTAACTTGGAAGCTGTGGAAGGTGATGTGGAAAGTGGATGGGTCCCAAAAAACCCGAGCTGATAGATGGTAACACTGCTACTCCGTCTCTTGATGGTCAAACCGGCCGAAAAAGGTTCAGGAGGTTGAATAAAATAGCGAAGAACGTATAAATTAGCAGGTGGAGCACATGTTCGCGATTGTCAGTATGTATGTCGTAAAGTACCTTTGATTAGTTATCAGAATAATAACAATAAATAGTTTAGTTAATGAACTTTAGCACAAGTAGTCTGGGACAGCAAGCCTCCATGTCAGTGCCAAACTTTGGATGGCCATGTTCCGAGCCACGAAGGCTTGCTCAAGCTGATGGGATGGGCCCTGGTCCTAGAACAGGGGCTGTGACGCTCCCAGAGATGTTCTGTGTTTGCAGACATCATACATGCATGTTGCTTGCAGAATTCATTAGCCACAATCCCAGCAGCTTGCCGTATCTTCGTCCTGGTCTCGGAATTCAAGGGTGGGGGGTGCCATGGAAAGGAACAAAATTGTCTGGGTTCTGGGTTTCCATACTATCCACACGTAATCGGCATTCCACACTGGGAATGGTTGAGTAATGTCTCCATGAAAAATAACTACCAATAATAGTTTGACAAAGAGCCACTGGATTTCAACCCTTTTCTCTTTATTGTTTCTTTCTCTAAACCTGGAGTCGATACCATTTATTATTATTATCGCCTGCAACATCAACCTTCTACTGCTGAGAAGGTGTCTTACCAGACCTGTGACGTGATACAATTCCTCCTGGTTTCTAAACACTACATACATGTCATCTCTGGCAGTCGGTCCCAATTGGCCATCCACTCTTCAGTTACATAGGAAGCATTACCTCCAACTTAAAAAGGAGCCAAAGTTAAAAAAGAAACCCAAAGGAAGAACACATGTCATTGTTCGACTACGATGATGCTAGTGGCGTGTGGTTGGGTTATGGGTGGATACATTTTGAGAAACTTTTGCTCCCGCCCGCGCACAGATAACTATCTTTGTTAGTTGAAACGCAAGAAAGAGAATATTTAATCCTCCTGACCACCTAAATATTAGCTAACTGAGAGGTGAGTTAGGGGTTGGAGTGGTGTAGTTGGTTAAGGCCTTGAGGGGATATATCACCCTGTCATATATAAAACCCAGCTTGAGATAAAGTAATACTGAGGTGAGAGCGGTCAAGAAAATACTGCAAATCCTGAATTTCATTATTATAATCTATGCAAGCCTTGCACGACGATGCACACACCAAACATGGTTGTTACCATTTGGAGATAGAAGAGTCCCCAAGGCGTCAACAAATCCGGTATTTCAGGTCCAAAGAGGTCCAAGGCATCTGAAACTCGCCTCGGTTTTCATTCACCCGCATCCACTGTTGTAGTGGTTAAGGGGCAAACCTGGACGAGTGAGTAACAACATTGTTGTTACCCAATCGGAGCGTATTTCACCCTCTATTCCAGATATATCCAGAGATGAACGATTCCTTGTGGGGTCGACAAGAGGATTTTTGATTATATACCATGCGAAGGATTCTTGAGGGTAATTTACCTGGGCGGCAAATAATTATCCATACAAGAGAGCAAGTGCGACAAATGCTCCGGAGTATTAACTATCCAACAAGAAAAAAAAAAAAGGTGAAACCTCATCGGTAATGAAGAGGAAAAGCTGAGCCAAAGCAGCTCACCGTCCATGCTCTGTAATTTGGTGCGTATTATCGATGTAATTCCAGTTCTCAGCAGAGAAAGGCGGGGACATACGGAGGACGGAGTAATAATATTAAAATGGTGTTTAGCATATCCCCACCAGTACAATCCTGAAATGGGTTGTGGGTGAACAACAACAACAACAAGAACCAGACCAGTTTCTTTATATAGCCTATGGTTAGAGCTAAGAGCCGCTGGAATTGGCCAAGTAATTCAGGGGGTCCCACTGGGGTTGCCAGCTGGTCTCAAACGGGGAACCCCCACTAGGCGGGAGGCCGACATTTGGGTTAACTTGCCTCAGCATGATCCCTCCTTCACTTTGGACTCAGAATATTAATGGCGAACCGACTCATCCGCGACCGACACACCCCCACCTCCTCCCCGCGACATTTTACGTCCAACACCTGATTAGCAGGTTAAAGGATCTTTTTGTGCAGCTTACCCCAAAAGAAGTTTCCAAGCGTTCCACTAAACTCCCTCATTGAGTCCTTTTAGGTTGAGCTGGAAGACAACCCGTGCTATGATTTTAAGTCGACATTTTTGCTTTTTTGAGGTGATAGAGAAAAAAGAATTATTGGTGGTTGAATCGTCGTGATTTGGTCTCAATTACTGCCATTATTTGATCTTCGAAGATTCGATGATGTCCACTTGTTTTAACGGTAACACATAGCCTCTCATGACTCAAAGTCAACTTTCAGGGGAGAAAAGGGCCCAGATCCATTGACTTGATGAAGCTTAATAAGTACTGAAGACGAAGCCCGCGTGGGATATGTTGGGAACTGTTGAGGGGGGTCAAGAAATCTTCCTGACCAAATTATGCATGCATAAGATCACCTGCATATTATCATTTATGAACGAACAGGCACGATCACAACAAAAGTGAAATGGGCCAGGCAATCGTTGATTGGCAGTCAAAAGAAATTGATTGTTTAAACACCCCGGAAATAGCGCACCATTACAAGTAGCCGGAGTGCTTGATTGACTTGCATTCAGCATCACGAGAGTCTACTAATACTAACTACCCACGCGAACGGTCGACATGAATCTGCTGAAGTTCCAACGTATCTGTATTGGGAAAAGAAGAAAGAGGGCAGCAAGTTACAATACACTGTGACGGCAAAGGCGGTGTTGATTCCAAAACCCCGTCCAGATGATTCAGCCCTTTGAATCCATCACCCATGGATGACTGAGAAGAAACCCAACATTCACGACATGGATGAAGGGACGCCGTATCTAGACGCCACTCGCCGTTTGGAGGCCATCACGGGGGCCATAGGCACTAGTCAAACTCGTTTTGAGGGAAGTTTGAGGGAAGTTTAAAGTCTCTCATCATGAGAAACCGGTAAAAATCCTGGACCTCAATTATTAGTTACACTCAGATCCTGAGAGCTTACGAACAGTCGTGCCGTGAGTTACAGACCATTAACTAGTTAGGCAACTGATTATACTATGTACAATCTTCTTACAAACATCCTTCCATCATGGATGTTGCCTTACGTAAATGCATTCTGTAAAGTGTGTTGTTGTTGTTGAGTAACTTGCTTCATATATGTTGGCACACCTGAAGAGCTTGGGAGAAGAACAAACCCGCTTGGTACTACGAAGTATTATTGCTCTAAACGAACCCAAGAAACAGACCCACGGAACAAGTCTGGCAATAATTCTCCACTGACTTTATTGATGCCCGTTTGTTGATGAGTCGAAGTGGAACTGGGCAGGATGTGCATAGGAGGCATAGGAGCCAAGTTGCTATCCCATACTTGCAAGTCGGGCTGCTCCTCGCAATCCCAAACCAGAACCATCTCAAACCACTGGGAGCCCATGGGGCTGATCAACATCCATAATCCGCCGAACTTTTCCTTTCTCTTCTTCCCCGTTTCCTCATTCTGCCTCTCTTCCAAGGTTGGCTCGGGTATGATGTCACTAGAAGGCAGAGCACACTGTGAAAGCTCCTGTCCCTGAAGCTCGACATGCATCGTGTAACAACAGAAAGCAATAAAAGATTCCCGCGTAATGTGTGTCCGTACTTCCAGCAACAAGGTTTATGGATCCCACCTAAAATTTAGCCCCGGATAACGTATCAATTAAATTTTTATGAACCATTGCTGATCTCTCGATACCGCAGAATGCCTTGATAATTAACGCGCTAAACGCAACTTTGATCACATTATTGTACGCTATGTATGCATATACATACATGTATGGCTGGTCCACAATAGCAAGAACAAAGTATCATCTGGGGGAGCCTTTCTCTCGATTGTGATATTTCTTGGAATCTAAAGGAGCGAACCAACCACATATTTTAGAATCGAAAAGGGGTTTAACTCAAGGAACAAGTCAGTCTTCTTTCTTTCAGCCAGTTGTACGCATTCTAGATCTCACGAGGCTCGGAATGCCAAAAAAGAAAAAGAAGAAAAAGAAAAAAAGAAAGAAAAAAGAAGACCAAAAAGAATTAATTCGTGGAGCGAAATTCCACTAGGTGAGCTGAGTTGTGCCAATGGAACCTTGGAAAAATGTTCTTCGTCGTCCTATCAGCAAAGGCTCACTGGAACCCTGTAAACCATCAGCTTACCCAAAGTCAAGGACCAAACCTCTGAAGGCTATCACAAGCTGTGATTATTGTGGTGGATCCCTTTTTCACAACGAATGCCAAACAGGAGGGAGTGAGTAACCGGTATTTAATTTGAGCCCGGCCCCCAGGGCCTGGCACCTTGCATAGTGAGTAAATTATAGGACCGTGGGACGACGACGACACGCTGGTATTGTTGCCAGTTACCCAAGCGGAATACTACCTATCCGACCGAGTCAACCTTCTGCTCCACATCGCGTACCACCGGATTTTTTTCGTCATCAGGAGGTGAAGGGAATGACACGTCCGTGCAGAGAAGCCCAAGTCTTGGCTTTGCCATTCCCCGGTTCTGTGGAGGGCAAAAATCTCAGATCATGGGCCTCTAAAATTTTATTAGACGCAATTTAACAACAAAAAATTGACTTCTTCTCTTTCAGCCGAAAATTACGCATTAAAATATGGATCTTACCATGGTGATTGGGTCCTATTATTATTTTCCTTTCTGGTGCGCTAGTGGTCAAGATACGAAAAGCATCTGTCCAATATCACCGCCAAAATAAGAATCTATTATTATTCCAAACTCGTTTGCTTCTTTTCGGATTTATGTGGTTGTGTTGTATTTAATTTATGCTCCATACATTGTCTCATGATGCACCGCCGCCCCTACACAGAACATATTGGTGACAGAGGAAATAATTGCGCCGCAAAAAACCAGGAAGTAATGGAAACTATCATGCAACTAAATCTGACATAAACACTATTATATCAACGGATCTTTTCAAGATTGTGTGCAGTTTTGGCCGAGCTCGGCGTGAGACAAATATTATATTTTCACACCAAATTTTAACCTTGGTATTTCAGGTCAGCTGCCATCTTACTAGCCCACTGAGACTTATTGTATCACGAGGATTTGCTGCCTATATTGTTGAGAACTACGCGCTACGCAATAGTCCCCTGGGACCAGTTTTCGGGAGGATAGGAGGAAGCAAGGATTCTTACTGTCTCTAGCTCCTCTTTTCAGATAATCCAGAATGCTTGATGGATACGATTCCCGCAGCGACCTACGACCATACATCTACCTACCAAGGTACCAGGATGGCTAGACATGTAACTATTACATCAAAAATGCACAAGGTTTCCGCGAACTCTCTGCTTCAGAGTAACTAAGTGTACCATGCCAACAACCCTTTGACTCACTGTGTGGTTGTAAACGCTTGGGAAGAGCTGATTTCCCTACGATTCTCAGACCGAGACCTCTGTGTCCTCCGCTCTGCCTTCTGACCTGGATGTTTTATCAAAGACTCAACTGAAGGTTCGTCGAGATGATTGTTCCAGCCCCCGTCAGGAAAAGAACGCACTTAAACCTGCTGCCTGCTTATGCTTTGCTTGTAATCAATTCCCGATTACACAACTCCTGAGCCTTTCTCGATAATGCCGAATATCCAACAGTTGCAAAATATCCACACCTGCAATCCTCCGTACTACCTACCTTAACCTAGGGGCCTGCTGTACCTAGATATGGTATGACAAACAACAGGGGGCTTTATACCTTCCGCGGTTCATCGTCCATGTACATGTACGGAGGAGTATCTCATAATCAATTTCACCTCGATCTTGTCCGTAATCTTTCCCTTATCCCGGCCAAGACACTATTTCCTACAACTACCTCCGCAACACTTGCACTTTTCTTCGACGGTTCGTTCTCTTGTGGCTCTATCTCGGATTTCAACCGAATGGAGCTTCGTTTTTGGATTATATTTGTTAAATTTGTGTGTCCAGGCTGATGATCGACATCGCCTCGGGGCTTGTCTAATAATTTCGCATGTGCATAAATGTAACTGGATTCGAGACTTTTGCTTTTGTTGATTTATCACTGAAAGGGTCTCTAGACCTCTCCCTCCTGAGTCATTGAGTGTCAGGAGACGAGGAGCCAACGCCTGCAGCCTGTGAAAAGTCAAATCCAACACCCTAGTCCTTCCCGAAATCCTCGCCTGCGTCATCACAGACATCATTCAAGATGGAAATTATAGCTGGGAAGAAGGCTCGTAGCATGATTTCTACGCCCTGACCGCCAACAGGGAAATAATGTCCATAAAATTGGGGAGAATATCGGAGTCCAAGTGGCCCTACTTTGTTTCATTGTTATTCATGCAATGTTCCCCCATGGATTGTCGGGACTAAACTATAGTTAAATGTCAGCAGAAACTAACCACCCATTGATTCATGAATATCATTGTGATGTATGCGACCAGATATTACCTGCTTACTCGCATCCAAGGTATATGGAAAAGAAGTACTGCAACGTAGATATATAACCATGCGCCAGGATGTTCTAGATTTTTTGAAAACGCTTTGAAACCCAAGCTGATGCTTCATACCACTTTCATATCATTTTCTCAACCCCCCACCCTTCATGTTAGTAATCTCTCCAACAATGTGCATTCTGAAATGAAAGAGCAGCCGAGGAATGATAATGGCCACTATCTTTTGTTTCCATCACCCCGGAGAAGTTTATATGCGACAATCTGGTGCAAAACAGATTTACAGACATGCCTTGCTCCAACTACTCCTGTGCCTCCCATTGAAGAGCCTCTGTTATCATCATACCATGATGCTACAACGACAACCTTAGTTTACCATCCTGACTCCTATCCGTGTGGGCAGACGACACAATATGAATGATGCATATTTTCGTCCCTATCTTCTCAATCTCCCTACTTAATCATTCACTATCTGCTTCTATCATCTCCCTTTCGAAGGACCACCGATGTGACCTCTGCAGATTGCCCAGGGATGAACGGCTATGCATTGAACGCTGAGTTTGGAGAAAGTTGGATGTTTGACCGGTGCAGAGACTACGACTTGATATATCCCGGCTGAAGAAGTGATGAGTACTTAAGTTATTGTATCCCTTGTGGTTTATACTGAATTATGATCTTGGACACTAGCATCGTGACTACGTAGTCTTCAACTGTAATGAAACTGGAAATTAGATATATCAAGGGTTGCTTATTCCTAGAACATGCTTCATCTTCCCTTCCCTGCGTCTCTGTTATTTGTTCATGGTTAAGGAAGAGTGTATGGTCATTTACCAATAACTGTCCATTAATCTTGGAGGTTGTATGAGCATCAAAGACAGCTCTCACAGACATGGAACCACATCTCTAATCGTTACAATCTATGTATCGTTGAATATATCTCATTGTTACGCATGCCATGGAAAAATGATGAGATATATGAAAGCATACATGTATATAATCACATTTTTCGGACGAAAGCTTTTCAACCGTAAGACAATCATTGATAAGAAACGCCCTCGGCCTCATCTGAATGTACAATGAGAGAGAAACAGGCAGCTGCGATTTAAAATATCATAAACCCTGTGAAGAAAAACTCCATCAATCATTGCAAAAGTCTAAAGAGTGACATGACCTTCTATACCTCCCCTGGATCTCACTATCGTACTCAGATTCGGGACACTGCTGGATCAGACATCCTTCTCTAAGGAGGTGGGCTTAAATATAACCATCGAACCGCATCCAACAATCCCTGAGCAAATCAATATGCAGTATTACGAAAGAGCACCCAGCGTGCTCTCCTCAATTCCTGTATGCAAATCTGTTGGAGCATGACTCCTCCCTACCAGAGGGTTCTAAATACCTAGTCAGCCCTGCTTTGTGTGGTAACTACTCGCTGCCCAAGGAGTCCCAGTCCTTCAGAGAATGAGGTGCACTCACAGCACCTAGATCATTTTATATATACCCAAAATATTAGATGATAGGAGAGTGTCATTTAATGTTTAGAAGACAGTCCAAATGCCGGTTCTTGCTTTGCTGAATTTGTATCCCACTGCGATTTGTGTGTTGCCTCAAGCCAACCATGCCAATTGAGAATAATCCGCATCTAAAGGAAAACGAAATTACATCCTCCTGAGCGCAAATCCAATGGCGGTTAAGACAGAGTCAACACTATTCAAATAGGTTCCCCATCTTGCTTCATTTTGAGGATATATTGGGAAACAATATTTTTAAGAAAGTTAATACATGAGAGATCATTCCCAAAAATTCATTCGCCAACTCCTCGCAAACGAAACATCTAAGTGATATTTTCTCCCAACTAGTCTATTTTGTTCTTTTGCACACCAAAGTATATCAAACTAAAGTGGGATGCCTTAGGTTATATAAAGTGAACCCTAGCTTTTTGGTAGGTGAATTCCATCCATAAGAACGGGCTCTTTGATCCGTAAGATTTACGTTTATATTAACCGACGACAACGGCATCATCCGGGGTGGCCCAGACTTCAGAAGCTTCCAACCCTATCACTTGCGCAGAAGCAAGGGCAGTGCGAATTTCAAAATTTGATGTTGAATCGCTTTGAATCGTGCAGGCTCCACTGTAGTTCGTAGCATCACATTGGAAACTCATGCGTTTGTCAAGGAAAAAGAGGGAAGTTGCGGCGTTCACATCCCGTCCTTATGTAAATTCTCATCTGTTGGAGCATAGACATAGCTTAAAGGTCTGAAAGGACTTCCTAATAATACGATGATCTGATACTGTTTCCAGTTTTGATATAGCGGTGCTGGTGGTTGCTGTATCCGTAAAACAGAACTGTCATTGTAGAGACACCTTGATGCGAGATGCAGGTTCTCATACCCGTCGTGGAGCCTTTAAGATAGAAGCGGCAATTTATCAGAGGCTTATGAGGGAGACGGTTCGATGGTTCACAAGCCATTTCTGGATTCAGGCGTGCACCCAATCTTGTGCATCGATGTCGAGTTGCCAACAGAGAAACAGCCCAAAACTAATTGGAGGAGAAGCGGCAACAGCAGTTCCCCGGCTGACCACACCCTCAACGTCTCAATCGGGGGAGCAGTTGCAAAGATCAGCTTGTGATGAATTTTGGCTGGAGAATGTCAATTCCTCTTATGTAGTTATTAAAGTTTCGTATGACGCAGGCAGCATTCAAGTTGCTGACTCAGCCTGCGATTCATCGATCCATCCAGGTTTCTGCTTATCTGATTATGGTCCTTTCACGATACATTTAAAGAGAATAAAATTCCAAATCAACTCCGCCTAATTATATTTTGCCTTGTATATTATCTTCCTTTCAAAAACAATCTGGATTCTTTGTTAATAAATGATAGGCTGGCTTGGAGTCTGCCAACTATATATTAAGTATGGCGAGTGGCGTTCCCGTCGGTGCCAGACCCCACGATGATGCAACTCTGAGGTACGTCTTGCAGCTAGCTCCCCGCGGGACCGATTTCAAGTTCTTCTTTACCCACCTGAATGCATTCATCTAATGAGGTTATCATGGACAATTACGGAGAGTCCAACAGTGATTCAGACTTACATTCCCGTCTCGAGGTAACCTATTCCCTCTAGTTTCAGGAGGTAAAAGCATTGGGGTATTCCTTGCCTGCGTCATCCGTGTCTCACTAACGGATATGTTCGCAGGTTGTCTTTGATCAAGATGCTAGACATATCCGCAAATCTTCACTTGTATCTACTGACTCCCCGTGGCTCTCCAGCCGCCATGCAGATCAGCGGAGTGACTCTGCATGTTTCGTCCACGCCCTCCTTGGACAACCGCATTGGCAGCCACCACGTCTTGAGCCAGTTGGTGAAATGAAAGAAGTAACAATCTCGATTAAAGAACCACCACCCCACAACAAGGAAGATTTCTTACCTTCTCCTGTGATGCAATCTCGCCTTTTGACCAAGAAACAACTCTCAGACATGGCGTGGAATGTCCGGGCTTTATCCAAAAAGCTTGGGAGTGTTAAAATGAAGCTCAATGTTAGAACAGTATTCATCCTTACGAAACCTCAAGACCAATGCCTTGTATTTCTGACGAGGCAAGTCACTCGATGGCTTTTATCCAAAGATCGGAAAACCCCATACACAGTGTATGTCGAGAAGAGGCTGGAAGGTGATACCCAGTTTGATGCTGCAGGGTTATATGAGGAAGAGCCTTCTGCAAAGGGACGACTAAAACACTGGGATTTAGAGCTTGTCCATGAGAAACCGCATACATTTGATTTCGTTGTCACGTTAGGAGGCGATGGGACGGTTTTATATGCAAGCTGGCTGTTCCAGAGAGCGGTTCCCCCGGTTCTCTCCTTTGCACTAGGCTCGCTCGGTTTTCTCACCAACTTTGATTTCGAAAATTATCAATCCACACTTGAAACATCCTTCAGCGAGGGCGTCACGGTAAGTCTCAGGTTGAGGTTCGAATGCACTATCATGAGGAGCAGACCCCGTCCGAATCATTCCGGCCTAAGGGATTTAGTGGAAGAGTTGATTGGGGAGGAGTCGGATGACGACACAACGCACAAACCAGACAAAATGTTTCAAATATTGAACGATGTCGTTGTTGATCGAGGCCCAAATCCAAGTATGCAATGCCCAATATGTCTCCTACCTGGAATTAGGGTCCTTTTACGACTTGTCTTTCGTTATGTGCATGTTAATAACCATTTCCCTAGCAATGTCGTCGATCGAAATATTTGGAGACGACGAGCATTTCACTTCTGTACAAGCTGATGGCGTGTGCGTTGCGACCCCTACTGGTTCAACAGCATATAACCTTGCAGCTGGTGGTTCACTATCGCATCCTGACAACCCCGTCATCCTTCTTACTGCTATCTGTGCACATACTCTAAATTTCAGGCCTATCATATTACCTGATACTATCGTCCTCAGAGTCGGAGTACCTTACTCTGCAAGGACAAGCTCCTGGGCTGGCTTTGATGGCCGGGAACGGTAAGTTCAACCCCACTCCTCTGACACCGAATTCTAGAAACAACTAACCTTATAACAGAACGGAATTATGTCCTGGTGACTATGTCACCATCTCGGCTTCAAGATTCCCGTTTGCCAACGTGAGCCCCTCAGAAGCGCGGAGTCACGAATGGATACAGAGTATCTCCCGGACTCTGAATTGGAATTCAAGACAAAAGCAGAAAGCATATGATGCAAAAAAACTTTGCGATGCTGATAAAAGCAGGATGTAGCTACACAGCTATATGAAGCCTATTTCTTTTTCTTTCATTCTCGTTTTTTTTTCTTTCGTTATATATATTGTGAGTAACGTCCAGCAATACTGGTTTCTTTGCTGTTTTTATCCCTTGTACGCCGCAAGATAGGCTTTATTTGTGTTTCGACATACGATAAATTTTATTAATGTCCTTTAATTTATGTATGTTTCATAGCCCCATGAATCTACGTAGTAATATGCTCAGAATTAGCCACTACTAGCTCTCTCGACCCCATCTCAGAGGTATTTTCAGCGGGTAACATGAGGGCAACAAAGAAAAGAAAAGAAAAGAAAGTAAAAGTATCATATTGCAAGAGAGAACATGAATTAACTTTTAACCTTATAGTATACAAATTATACAAAATTATAGCTGACCTGTACGTTGCCAATAAATTCCGTATATTTCTAGATATCGTGAGGGCGGACTGCACATTTGCGTGAACAGGCAACCGTAGTCTGCTCCTCTCAAGCAGAACAGCTTTAATGAATTATCTAGAGATTTCCTTTACTGAAGCAATTATATCACCAACCTGGCTATTACAATCTCAGCCACAACATTCCAATAGCGAACTATTCCCGCCGAACTACGCAGACCTCCGCTCCAAAAAGAAATGGCATCTCTCGCCAAATACACCCACGTATCCTCCACAGCTGTGAGCAACAACGTTGGGGACTCACAGGAAAAGCACCGATCGAGAAGTATACCGCAACCTTCTGCGGGACTGCGTGTTCCCTCCAACAAGAAGACAATCTATGATCGAAATCTCAACCGAAGTCGTAATGCGGAACTCAGCAAAGCAAGCTTTGCGTACCTCTTTTCTGAGATGGTCGTATATGCTCAGAGACGGGTGACTGGAATACAGGACTTAGAGCGACGGTATGTAGTCAAACTGCATCTATAACTCAAGATAACCCCTTCTGTCACCAGTTCCCATTCCCTCGACTAGAACCATAACATGACGTTGGCTCAGCTATTATAAGTAAACCATATTAACCGCCCATCGGTTGCCATCAACCAGACTTAACGAACAGGGCTACCCCTTAGGCCTCCGCCTTCTCGATCTTCTTCTCTACCGATCTCTCCCCGGGTCCTCCTCATCTAGCGGTCTCACATCCTCTTCCTCCTCATCGGGTACCCAACCCAACCGACCCCTCCGCATCCTCCCACTCCTCCAGCTAATACACGGCCCTCTTTGGCGCCTCCTATTCTCCCGTCCAGCAGATGCGCTTGAACACTCCGTTGCCGCTGCTACACCCAATGAATACATGATTACTGACAATGATCCGCTGGTCAATTCCTACATATCCGTCCCGCGGGAGATGAACCAACTGAATTGTGCGGCGTACGTGGCTGGAATTATCGAAGGGGTGTGTGACGGGTGTGGGTTTGAGGCAAAAGTGACTGCTCACAATCAGGCTAGTGAGATGTGGCCCGGGCGGACAGTGTTTCTAGTTCGATTTGGTGAGAGTGTTATGGAAAGGGAGAAGATGTTGGAGAGAGTAGGGGTAAAGTAAATATTTTGACGTGGGGTATTTGATATAGACCAATATTTACGGCTTAAAGTGGTCTTTTAATTTATGGGTTTTGTTTTCTTTCATTCCACCACCAGCTTTGGACAGGCGTGCGTCATTCATCCTTCCTTCTCCTTTGTAATTTTCTCCGTTTTGCACCAATTTCCTTATACCTCTCATTTTATTCGGTTTTGGAGGCTCTTTAGACAAGCTCGCAACTACTGCTAATATAGGAGAAGGGAACTTCGTTACAGATTCCTTGTTTTCGTAGGACTATGGCGTTTGGCGGGGCTGCTCCATGCAATCAGTTCCTCTTTACCAGCTGATAACTTGAAATAGCACAACAACTACCCTGCCATCATATTCTCATTTCATCGGAAAATTATAATTCTTCATCTCACGTTACAACCATCGGCACCACTTTTGTGCCCCGCGGTCGACGAGCTCGTCCTATTGTGGGCCAGAAATAATGTTTCTAGTTTCGCAAAGGGGAATCAAAGCATCTATCGCTCTTCCCAATAAAGGCAACTTCCGTCTACGTAGCTATCCACGGCATAAAGCCAGCCCATTTTTATATTCAGACAAGTTAAATTACGAGAATGAATTGGGCCAAATATACCTAAGTGCCCGGCTAATCAGTGCTGCAATGCTGGCGTCAGGGGTAGAAGGAAACAGAAATCTGGGGTGGGAGGTAGAACCAGAGTTTATGGCGCATCCTTTATGTGAGCCTGTGTGTATGTCATAACTTAGGGGATAGTTATTGAAGTGGTTGTTTGTATTATTGTGATGATTCCGAATCTGTTCTCGGTCGTTTACATCCGAAAACAAGGATCTTATGTGCAAGGGAAATTTGTTTTGATGCTCTTCCAGGACCGTGAGACCATTCTCTTGGTGCATCGGTCCCTTCTTGCCATGGATAGCATGTGGAAATATTGCGATGCAGAAGAGGGCTAAAAGCAAATTCGTGTTATCTTCCTGAGAAATTTCAGACCACCTTCCAGAGGTCCGTAGGTATTATCTAAAAATGCAACGTTAATCCCACAAAGTATACGTCACTTTGACAGAAAATTTTACTCTTTTCACGGGGAGGTTTTTTGCAAGATAGACGCAGTATTCATCATGGCGCGTCGGTCACATGAGGTCAAATAGAAGCAATCAATTAAGATCGTCTGTTCATAAGTCGGAGACATAAGATAACTATAACTGAAAGAACCTGCGAATCTTGAAGCTTTGACAGAGCGTAGTGCACTCGGGTGGAAGTGCTAATTGCCGAGGTAAGTTAGCGTCATGGCATCAATATCATGTTTGGCCTCGTTGGTACGGATGCCAAGGCGGGTATATTAGTTAACTAACCCGCCTGGAGCCGCACCTTATTTTTTATATGACATCATCTGCATTCATTCCCATTCATTATTCATTTACTATGTGAATTATTGTTGCAAAGAATCTATAAACAGATATTGTTGATAACCTCCTACCTAGCTGAATTGAATTAATACAGGATAATGATATCAAAGTAATAAAGAAGGAAAAGGAAAGAAAGGTGGAAAAAGGATCAGTAAAATTATTAAAAACACTGCTTTCTTGGATGAAGATTTGCAAACTGTGTTTGCAGAATTGACTTCTTGAGTGGAGTTCAACTTGACTGATAATCCAGATAAGCCTATATTGATTGAAAACGGTTATAGAAGTTAATGAAAGGGCATAAAAAGTTAATGAATTAAGGAGACCTGATATCGAAGGGAGAAGATCTTGTGAGCATATATTTACGGTCCAAATAGTGTGTGGTGGATTAAAGTTGCGGTATATCTATATTATAGATTAAAATTTCTATGATGTCGTAAATGGAGAACAAAAACTAATAAATCATCCAAGAAACACGAATTTTGAACCAGATCCTGAAGAGAATGAGATGTCACCTGGCTTACAAGTGATACTCAGCGTCACCTTCCTGCATAATATCCTACACCTATAAAATGTAATTGGGAGCCGGTGAAAACCAATGACAGTATTCAGGTGTTTGCAAGCAAAATTGCGGACCATATGGCTCAAAAGTACTCAAGCTGTATGTTATTTTTGCTCAATGTTTTCTTCTTGATATGAGACGAGTTCACAAAGGCGATGATCCATGAGTACCATTCACAAATATTTAGTATAATTAAGTACACCCACCACTGGAAATGACAACTAATGTACTGTTGCAAAGACAATGGTTTTGTGTCTGCATATCTGGAGCTGGATTGCTCTATGCCGAAATAGCGAGGAGGAGAAGAAGAAGAAGAAGAATTGATCACTTTCACCCTTTCACCAAAGGTACTGTACTTTTTATTCCAAAATCCCACCAGATTCAGAGAAATTGGCCCATGCGTCTAGATTTCTCCATTGGACAGTTTTAGTCCATGCTTCATTCCCAGGGTCTCATAACCTCATCCTGCCAGGGAAGAGATCAAAGAAATATTCGAGCTAGAGACAAGATCAAATATAGCATTTTGAAAAAGAAAAGGGCCAAACATGACAGTTTGTTGAGAAGTGAAATGCTCGAATCTACTGGGCTGAACCCGGTCCAAGTCCAATTGGGTTGTGCAGTAATTGGGTCCAATGTGATGGATTCCAATTAGACGGACGGCATGGCCTGTCCACATCAGATTGACCTAGTGAATTGCATATAGCTCAAGATTGCAGAAGCTGATAGATTATGAGGTAGTCGAACTGAAGTGAATGACACTGACAGTCACTGGAATTAATACATATTTAAAATCCGCGATCAATGTTTCACTGGGTGCTAATTTGTATTTAAAACACGCCAAGCCCAACAACGACGTTCAACAATTAGCTTTCGGATAATATATTTTCCATAACATCCAACGACATCATCGCAAGAAAACGGTATTCTGACAATAGTTTCTGGCATCAACTTCCTCTCTGATAATTTACTAATCATCTTATTCCTCTGTTTACGGCTAGAGCTTCTTCTCACCGTTCTTTTGCCGATAATGGTTCTTATCTATATCTCACTTACTTAACCCCCAACTCTTTTGCCATCCCACCATCATGCCTCCTCCCTTCCCATCATCTCGCGGTCGCATGACTGCGAATCCGCAGAGGCCACAGCGTTACCGGCCAGGAAAGCCAATCGCAGAAGAACATTCTTCAGAAGAGGAAGAGGATGACGATGAGGAAATTAATGAAAAGGAACAGCGACGAGAACAGGAAAGGTTACGACGACAACAGCATAGAGCTCCTCCCCCGAAAGCAACTTCGTTTCCTGCCGCCCCCACGTCAAAACTCATAAACGGAGTACGTGAGGTGAAGTTAGAGGAGGAAAGTGAAGATGAAGCAGGGTTTCTCACCGACGAAGAGGAGGAGGATGCAGGAAAAGGCGTGGAGAAAGGAACAGATCAAGGAGGTGAAAGTGAAGAGGATAGCGAAGAAGAAAGCTCTGAGGAGGAAGAGGAATCAACTTCAGAGGAGGAAGCACCCAGAAGGATATTACTGAGGCCCACATTTATCAAAAAGAATCAGCGGAAGGACTCTTCGACTCCAGGCGTCACTAGCAACGGGGGAGCTGGACCGTCATCTGCAGATCCAACCACGGAAGACGCAGCCGAAATCGCACGCAGAAAAGAGAGGGCGGATATTCTGATTCGGGACCAGCTGGAGAAAGAAGCTGCTGTAAGACTTGCGGGGAAGAAATCTTGGGATGACGATGAGAACGTCGAAGGAGAGAATGAAGAACAAATTAACGATACCGACGGGCTCGACCCGGCCGCTGAGCTTGCGGCGTGGAAACTTCGGGAGCTGAAACGCATCAAGCGCGAGCGGGAAGTTATCGAGCAGGCGGAAAAGGAGCGCGAGGAGATCGAGCGGCGTCGGAATCTCACAGCTGAAGAGCGGGAGCGGGAAGACCGGAAGTTCCTTTCGCAGCAAAAGGAGGAGCGGGAAGCTGGAAGAGGAAATGCCGGGTTCATGCAACGGTATTTTCATAGGGGGGCATTTTTCCATGACGATATGGAGGAGAAAGGGTTAGATCGTCGCGATCTCATGGGGAGTCGGTTTGTGGATGAGGTTAAGAATCGCGAGGCGCTACCGCAGTATTTGCAGGTTAGGGATATGACCAAGATTGGGAGGAAGGGGAGAACGAAGTATCGGGACTTGAAGAGCGAAGATACGGGTCGCTGGGGGGTTGATGGATATAACCGTTCAGTTACATCAAATAATACGGCACGGTTTGGGATCAAGGATGAGCGATTTCATCCAGACAAACGCGAGGGCGAGCGGGATAGGCCGTATGGTCCTACGGGTGCGAATTCTAGTGCCTTTATAGATCGACCTCGCCCCAGACGGCGATCACGGTCAGGATCTAGGTCGAGGCCGAGGTCAAGGTCAAGGTCCAGATCTGGAGCACGACCACGGCGCCGCTCTCTGTCACGATCCAGGTCCCCGTCACGATCGCCACGGCAGAGGGAACGTAGGGATCGCTACCATGATGATGACAGGCCGAGAAGGAAGCGGAGCCTATCACCGTATGATGACAGAGATAAGCGCCGTCGGATAGATACTGCCGCGTAGAGATGCATATATGCATCCTAGGACATGACATGATGTGTCTCTGTGCGTCCTATTCGAGCCTCACTTGTCTAGCTCCTTTCTCCGTCGAGTTTGTTTGTGGCGTTGTAGGATGCATGTTTACGGTGTTTGGGTGTGGTGCACTCATTTTTGAATGGCTTCCCTATGAAAGCTTGTACTGTATAATATTAGGAACTGGTTGAAACTTCTCTTTTACCCTTTTTTTTCCTTCTTACTTCTTGTTTTCCGACATCGCGACATCAGTCTTTCCGTCCTGGTCGGAAAACTCTGTATATGCCCCTTGGATATTGAGAGTAAATATAGAATGAATCATTACCAGTGAATTTCACGCAATATATGCACCCTTCTTTACCTTTTTTCCGTTGATACCATACATACAGGATTTTATTAATTGCGGCTTGCGGTGAATATTGAAAGGGCTCCACGTGTATATATATATCCCCTCCAGTGGTTATGTATATTTCTACATATCTACGACCGTCTACTGGGCCTACCGATGACCAGGAATGCCACTCATTCAATATTTAATGGCAGTTCTTTCAGTTCACTACGAAACGCGGTTATATTTTCTGGCAAACGTGATACTCGTGGTCACTTCTCTCCAATGTTTTGAGAAACGATGGTGAAAAACTAAATACAGTATAATGCTTGGGCTCTAAATGAAAGGAGAGGAGAGATGGACAAGCATCCTTGATGGTCTAGTGGTTATGATTTCCGCTTGTCATTCAGTCTTGACTGACGAGCGCGGGAGACCAGGGTTCGATTCCCTGTCAGGGAGATTTTTAGATGCAAGATTAACTATGTATTTCTTATATTTTTCCCTTTCTCATTTCCTCCCACCCGCTGTTCTCATAAGTCGCTCCTTTTTTTTTTTTTTTTTTTTTTTTTTTTTTTTTTTTTGATGAAAATGTCGCTCTTAGCATCTCATGAAAGCCGTGGACCTAGTTATGGGGGGAACAACCCCTTCACATTTCTTGTTGTTAATTTCTCACGGTCAAGGGTGTTAATGCCCGAATGTTTCAGTCCCTGTTAGCACGTTCCAGAGTTCGGGCTGCCAAGCAGGGTGTCTGCTCAAGCTGTTGGGAATCACTCTTCCCTCTATCTATTCACAGTTGTATGGCAAATTCTTCAGCGACTTGCTAGAAATGGGTTCCTCTGTTCTTTATGAAAGTTCTCTACGAATTCTGCATATAAGGTAGGTTATTATTATTGACATCGGAAGGACACACCTCCGTAACACCCCCTTGCTGGAGATCGTCCAACGGAACAAGCAGCCACTTCACCTGGTTGGTGGCATTAGAGTTTCCCCATATCACCTGATGTCAGGCACGAAGAAGTTCTCAGCCAATTGAGCCTTTGTATTAGCCCTCAGCAGGACGAGCCAGCCAATAGTTTAAAAGCAAGCTAAACATCGAATCAAGGTTAATCCCGCCCCGCTGAAGACGGTCATGGCTCCCGTCAACGTTTGAGCTAATACTAATACGGACTAGCATGGTTTCCACATGGGCCACGCGCCACAGTTGGGCCCCTGAGCCAATCACAGTCCGCATCTTCCTCATTTCGAAATGTCCCTTCCCGTTTCAGTATTATTATTTTCTCCTTCCATAGTTCCTTCCACTAGCTACTCCTCTCACTTTCATTTCTTTGTCACTCCTTTTAGTTAATGGTCTTTTTGAACTGTCTTTGTCTTGCTCCATCTTCACACACACACACACACACACACACAACACACACTCTCTATATTGATTCATCTCGATTCCACACCACCCCCGCGGTGGGGTCTCCTGTCTCTCCTTTATGGTCTCTACCTGCAGAAGCAGTCCTTCGTTATTGTCTGCGAATAAACACCCACATTCATTCCTCCGATCCATCTGTTTTTAACTAACAATCTCTCCTTATCATGGCCTCTCCATCCGCTATGTCGTCTCTCCTCTTCCTAACCGCTCTGTTCGCAACTCTCTTTTCATCCGCCACAGCCCAAACCTGGACAGCATGTAATCCCACAGAGAAGGATAATTGCCCTCGAAACCCGGCCCTAAGCACAACCTACCAGGTCAACTTCACAGACACTCTCAACGAAGTAATCTGGAATATCACCAATGGCAAACTCGACTACCACGACAAGGACACCAGCTTCTCTATCAAAGAAAAGCTGGATTCCCCAACCATCCAATCCCGCTTCTATATCTTCTTTGGCCGACTGGAGGTTATCATGAAAGCAGCTTTAGGCAAGGGCGTGGTCAGCAGCATCGTTCTCCAGTCTGAAGACCTGGACGAGATTGACTGGGAATGGGTGGGCGGCGATACCACCCATGTCCAAACCAATTACTATGGCAAGGGCAACAGGACCTTGGCTGACCGTGGCGTCATCCACGAGGTGGATGCTCCCATGGAAAAGTTTCACAACTATACCATCGATTGGACCGCGGAACGGCTGCAGTGGTGGGTCAACAACGACTTAATCCGCACCCTAACATACGACCAGGCCCTTGGTGGTAAAAACTATCCGCAAACACCTATGACGGTGAGATTGGGAATTTGGCCTGGAGGTGACCCGAAGAACGAGAAGGGCACCATCGAGTGGGCTGGTGGAGATGTAGATTACAGCAAAGTTCCATATTTCATGACTGTAAAGCAGCTCAAGGTCCAGGACTATTCAACAGGCAAGGAGTATGAGTGGACAGACAGATCTGGTTCCTGGCAAAGTATCAAGGTCCATAAGTACGTCTATATTCTTCCTTCCGTCGAATTTTGCATGCATCGATAGACCTAAAACTCAACAATGATATCTAGATGCTAATAATCATGTGCATAGGGGAACATCTTACCTTGAGAGAGAAGTGCTCAAGCCACCACCAAAGTCCATGTCGCAAAAATGGCGTCGACTCCCTAGCGGTGCCAAGATCGCCATCTATGCCTCCGCAGGTGGCGTCGCCTTAATCGGCCTCCTTGTCCTGATACTCTGCTGCATCAAACAACGAAGAGCTGGGCGCAGAGAACACATCCTCCAAGAAAGCAAATTCACCACACAACAGAATGAAGTCATCACGCTGCAATCACAATGGAAGAGCCATCAGTATCAACAAATTCGAACATAGGATTGATCTTCCCGTGTTGATTCTCGGTTTGATTTCTTTTTCATTGAAGCGTATTGTAATTGTCGCTCTCTGTGTCACACACACACACACACACACACACACACACAAACAAACAGAGATGATTAGTCCTCGTGGATAGAATGAACCGAAAAACTTACCGGACTTTCTCCCGTCTTTTCTTCGCCTGGCAGGACCTGGCCCTTGCTACAATACCACCTGTACTACACCCATACCTTCCTTTCTCTCCATATGTGCGTGTTTATTCCTTTACCTGGTGGTCTCTCCTCCGACTTTCTTCCCTGGTCTTGCTCTATTTCCTGTCAACACATATCACCCATGTTTGCATCTCGATTTGTTGCTTGGCCTCTCACCTTTCTCCTGTCAGCACGAAGTAAGTTCCCAGGTAATCTTCCTCTCTAATATTTCCTCTTTCATATTTGTGAGTATGGTCGTGAGATATCCTCTTTAAGTGGTTCCTTTTCTGTTTTCCATTTCCCACATTTTCTTTCATATTTCCCAACTGTCACATGATGAATGAGACCTCTTTACTTCTGGGATTCAACATATGCTTCTTCCTTTCTCCCATCTCTCTTCAAAATCTGCAGATACTGGAGATTTCAGACCCTACATGAAAATTGAAAATGGGCCTGGGAGTCAAGACGCAGCAAACTGCTTGTGATGCTGGCTGCTTCATAGTATCACTGTATGTTTAACACTGACACCACTCTTGCCATCCAAATAAGAGCATGAAGGTGTTTGTTCCATTTTGCCTGCATTACATCATCAGTTTTTAAAATAACTAAATCAACCAAGAATCAAATTCCACATTATAGAATCAAGAGTCGAATGCAGAGAGTATGGGGTGGAGTGATAAATGAGCTTAACTTTGCAGAATGCGGAGATACCTGAGAAACTGCAGGTCTTGGGATGAAATGGACAGATGAAGGGTCTGCTGCTCGTTTGCGTTGGATGGATGCCACTGTGTAGGCCCGCCGTGGAGGGGCGGCTCATAGTGGAACTCGATACGAGAAATGCGAGTTCTCCCAGAAACAATCAACCTGTTTGATAAATGTCCTTTCGCACTGGATATATGGGGAAAATGAAGGAGCTGAGCTAACCACCTGCTGCTGGCAATAAATGAGAAAAACATACGTAAACGGGTAGTCCAGAGTAATAGTTATATTAATCATTAAGCCGGTGCTTCTCTGTTGTAGAATTGTTTCGCGAAACGAAATAAACTTGCTACCTCGTGTAGCATGTCTGCAGATATCCTCAATGTCATCTCTCGTGGTGGTGGTGGTGGTGGGGAGGCCGTATAGGGTGGGGTTGGATTACGACTTGGCAGTGGACGGATGACAGTAGTCTGCGGCTTGGTTGATCTGGTGGTTGTTGTTACAGAGAGGGGCAGGTGGGAGAGGCCGGACATTTTCATACGTTTTTTCGAAGCGAGACAGGAGATATATCCATGATGATTATATGGACTAAAAGGGGGTTTTCCATATACTGCACAGGGAAGAGCGGGAGGAAGATCTGGTGTGGTTGGTGAGGGATTGTGTTGTCATTCCGGAAACGCCAGACACTATCCCATTTTCTCCGCTTCACAATCTACCACCATCCCAGGTTAAAAGCGAACATCGTCAGGTCGTAGATGGCAACTATCTCTCCACTCCACTATCACAAGCGTATTTGGCTCTCCGAGTTCCACAGCAATTGTATTATCGCCAAATCTTTACCCAACCTTCTTAAGCTTTTCCAATTCCCTTACCCCGTATTCTGTTTCTATTTATTCCTCTGTCCCTTGTGCCTGAGATGCAAGCGTCATATTGGAAGCCAAGCCAAAAGTTTCTGAGCATCGATTCATGCAAATGCCTTGCTTGTCCCGCCGGATCCGACTCCTTCGCTGGGGCCGGTTATTGACTAACACGATTCGGGGACAAGGTAGCTATGTAACGGTTCACTATTGGGCGAGACTGGATCCTGGCACACATTTTCTTTTCACTGTCCGTGATTGCGGATATGGCAGTTTAGTTGTATGGAGAATGTCTGAAGACACGAGGTTCAGGGAGAGTTACCGTTGTTACTCGCAGTGCTGTCATCCGCGGTGAACTCTGGAACCTAAACAGGTGGGTTTGATGTTACGACTGCTTGGGCAAAGTTTGAAAGTAACTAACTAGCTCCATGTGGGTTTTCACAGATCTGCGCCTCAACGAAACTTAACTAGCGCTACAAGCGACTCAAGAACTCAACCTCAAGGCATGCAGGCTTTTCTGATAATCTATCTCCCTGATCTAGGAGGAGGGTCGTGTTCGAGCTCGCAAACCAGATTACCCCTTTTTCTTGGACTCTTTGCAACCCGGGATCCCGACATACGAGAGAAAAATCAGATATTCGACATGCGTTAATGTTATCCGACCGGAGCTCGGTGTTTGACTGATTAACTGAAGAAGGATTACCGTTTTAATTGTATCTTTGAAAGGCTGAAATGAATTCCAGGGTTCATTTTAGAATATCAATGTTTGTGGTACATGGGCTGTGTAAAGTTATACCTTATTTCTGTGGAGCATTCATGAGCCTTGAATTGCTCTGGAGAAGTACAAATCTACCAAGCTCAGTTTCCGTGCGGTCATATCCTCGACGTGAAGAAGTCTTTCTAAAATTAAACGCCCTTGCAAGTTTCAAGAAAAGCCGTTCTAACGCAGCCCCCCTTGGGATTTGACGCTTGAGGGCACATCTTTGTTTCTGCCAAGTACTGTATACTAGTGGATGGAGAGACATGCCATAAAACGTTCAGAGGTGATGAGGCGGAAATGATATTTGATCAATATTTAATACGATGATATGTTCGTGTTGGATTAGCCGTCTAGGAGAAAGATTCGAATATAAAAGGATTCGTTGAACCCACTCTGTGCTTGGGTTATTTTCCGAACTCAGCATCGGCAAAGTCAAAGTCTTGAGATAGAAGGGCGATAACTGTATAATTATTTTTGCTTCTCCTCTTCTCTCCTCTTTTCGCTTAACTCGGTTATTACACACTGTGTCCAATATGGCGTTTGACAGCGCCCTTCCCGGGCCGGCTCCTAGAAAGGGAGTCTTGGGAAATGCCTTTTGGCAACGATCCTCCAACAGAAAACTTTTGATGTTGATCCGCCTCGCCGTTCTAGCCCTGCTTGTTTGCTACCAACATACCTTTATCCAGCCAGCTGAAGCTATCAAGTTCGTTAGCCGAAAGCAGTGGGGGGCGAAGCTTGTAAAGTCCTCAATGTCACCCGTGGGCAATCCAAAAGGCGTCAAGATCCATTACACTGGCGAATATATCAGCAAGGGAAGCCACTCCAAATGCGCAGGAAAAACGAGAGCGATTCAAACCCAACATCAAAATGACAAGGCGAACGGCTGGGGTGACATTGCATACACGCTTGCGGTCTGCCAGCACGGCTGCGTCTTCGAGGCTCGTGGCGCCAAGTACCGTACTGGAGCTAACGGTAATGCGGAACTGAATAGAAATCACCAATCCGTTCTCGCATTAGTCGGCTCCGCGGGAGACACAACACCCTCAAAGGCAATGATCCAAGGTATCAAGGACGCGGTTACCTACCTGCGCAGTAAGGGGGTTGGGAAGGAGGTCAAAGGCCACCGAGACGGATGAGCAACTTCATGTCCTGGCGGGCCCCTTTACAAGCTGCTGAAGGAAGGAAAGCTTAATCCTTCAGGTGGAGGAGGCGGAGGAGGAGGAGGAGGAGGTGGTGGTGGTGGTGGAAGAACCCCAAAGCCACCCAAAACCAAATACATCAAGTTTCCAGGGGCTTCGTGGTTCCACTGCAAGCCAAGGAGCAGCATCATCACGGCAATGGGTAAGCGCCTGGTTGCTGAGGGCTGCAGCGCGTATAAGGAAGGACCAGGACCACAGTGGACTGATGCGGACCGCGCATCGTACAAGAAGTGGCAGCAGAAGTTGGGATATACGGGCAAGGATGCTGATGGGTGGCCTGGAAAGACAAGTTGGACTAAACTGAAAGTTCGGAAATAATGGGGCTAGAAATGTGTGGTCTTTTCCTTCAATCTGGTCATCAACGAGTGGGTTGTGGATGGGGTGAGATATATTAAGGGGACGTTGTTGGGATGCTTGGAAGGAAGAGTTTCCTTGTGTTCTCTGTTTCAACGGTATAGTTGATTAGGATATGGAGAGGATGTATATTTCCCACGTTTCTAGCATATTGTTCATATCTTATATCCATTGTATATATTGCATAGATAAAATATTCATTCCTGTATAGACGGGAATTTACCTCTCGCCTTCGCCGCTTTTTATCTGAATGCAACGACCACAGATGATGTTTATTTTCCTGAGTTCCTCCCTTTAATTTTGGGGAAACATTCCATGTTGTTTGCATTGCCGTTTTCAAAAATCAGAGTATCTATCAATACGCTATCTTCATCGTTCCCCTCTCGACGCAATCAACACGAGACGTGAGATAGAGCGACTAACTTGACGCCAACTTGCTTAAAGGGACGAAAAACCTTTGAAGCATAGCGGTTTCAACAACCCGATTATATCGCAGAAATATTGCACAAAATATATTCTCATTAACATGTCATACATGTTCAACGACGGAATGGGGTGTTGAAGGATGGATCTTTGTCCATAGAAGAATTTGAGACAGGGGACCAACAGAATCAATACGACTCGGAGGAGGCCTGTTTTCTAATCTAGATGGGATTGTATACGGGGAGAGTCTCGGACTGTGTACAAAGATAGGAGCAGCAGTGGATATCTGGAGGACAATGTGAAACTCTTGCACAGGGATCCATGGTGCCGGGTGACATACACATGCATCAAAAAAAAATTGCTGCTGGTAAATTGAAGCTGCATGCTGTCAAATAGTTATCCGAATCCGAACCGTCAACCGAACCTTCAAACCGTGCATTCGGAATAATGGATAACCTACTGTAGCATGCCCAAAACCCTATTAGTTGGCAATAGTTCTTATCTATCACGCAATTTAGCTGTATTCCTGAAATCTCTGCAAGATAGGCCTCATTTACCCAGGTAAAAAAAGGTTCAGGAATCCTGTGAGATAAAAGAATTTAATACGAATAACTAACTAACTAGTTAGTTATTAAGCTGTCTGCTTAGTAAAAATCCTAATAGTTAGTTACGGGTTTTCCCCTCTATCTTTTCCCTAGCTAACTAACTCACTCGGCAGGATTCCAGAGGCATTTTATGTAAATGAGGCCTATCTTGCAGAGATTTCAGGAATACAGCTAAATTGCGTGATAGATAAGAACTATTGCCAACTAATAGGGTTTTGGGCATGCTAGGTTATCCATTATTCCGAATGCACGGTTTGAAGGTTCGGTTGACGGTTCGGATTCGGATAACTATTTGACAGCATGTTCCTTAGGAACCTGTAGGACTCAATAAAAGCATCTATAGTGGAATAACCCCGGCGGGGCTCGAACTCGCACCCTTCAGATGAACCTTTAACACAAGAATAAGAAGAATAGAAGTCCCTGACGCCCTACCATTTGGGCTACGGAGGCTATTTGATGAACAAGATCCCGTAGTTGTAGGTTCAGAGTCGGCAGAAGCTCCAAAAGATTACTTGAACTTCCCGAGGTTCCGATAGCGCCAGTTAATTGGCTAATCACGTGCTCTCGCGCTGAATCCTGCGACGCGGTCTCATCCTTGGGATATGTGAAACCTTGGAATGTTCAAACACTCATCCAAGTTGCGATAGGCGATTCCAAGCAATCACACAAGGCTCCCCAGAAAACAGACTCACCCCTGCAAGTCAATCAATTCACTGCGGTCAACAAAATCCCTCAAAAGGTATTAAAACTTGTCTGAATCAGACAAGTCATGTCGCTCTCAACCCCTCGCCTCCTCCCTGAACATCTGCACGCCTTCGTCCCGGGTCCCAGCCACCAAGGCCCCACCACAATTCGCATCCTAGGAACCGTATCTGCGCTTCGCGGTGAATATGCCACCATTACCTGCGGCAGCCATGGGGATGTCACACTGATTTTGAACCGCGAGTCACACGTGCAACTCGGCCGGATGGTAGATGTCGTAGGAAGGGTTACGCAGGTGGAAGGGGTGAGTGTATATAATATGCAATCGTTGATTTTGTCGATGATTCTAGTAACGACGTGCAGTGAAAATCGCTGATTGATGCATTTAACAGAGTCTGGGAGTTCGAGTTTTGGCCGTGGCAGATTGCGGGGATCCGAAGGATATTGGTACGTTGTTAATGTTGATATAGACAATCCAATTGAGGAAGGGGGAAATATAAGCAAAAAAAAAGAAAAAAAAAAAGAAAAAAAAGAAAAACGAAAAGAAAAGAAAAGCTAATGCAATAACATTTCCGTTGAGTACAGACTATCAGATTTACGAACAAGTTGTCGATGTGACACATCGGGTTAAAGAAATCTTCTACTAATAGGACGGCATATGATTGCGTCTAATTATCAAAAGAAATCAGTTCATTGACGCCTATGACGATTCCAGGAGATTCCCAAATCTTATATAAATAATGGGTTTGGTGAAAGGACTAGGGGCCGTGGTTTAGGTTGATGGCAATCTCTTCGTTCACTTCTGACGCCGACCCACTCCTCTTGGCTACTGCAAGGTCATGTTTTAGCATTGGACTCGAGGAGCAACTGGTCATTCTGGTGCCTTGCGAAGGGGTTAAAGTGGTTGATCAAATGATGTTGTGATTTTCTTTCCTCATCTCTATATACCCACTGACAGCGTGGAGAAGGAAAATTGGGACGAGAGGACTGGATCTGTTACTTGCTGGTCTCGCCAGAAATTTATTATTACCCAGATGTATTGTGGATGGAGGAGTTACCTGGTTTGTTCATGTTTGTTGGTTCTTAGGGATTTTTTTATTTTTAGACTAGCGCTTTTGTAATAGATCGGTTAGATCGGTTACGCTCTTCCATGGAGAACAGAGATAGCGGGAGCCTTACATTAAAATGCATGTGTCTTCTGCCCTCCATGTTGTGTAATCTCAAGCAATTCAACCTATGAAAACCGGAGATACATTTGCTTCTTTGCATGGATAGATATTCATTTCAATTCTCTCATTGTGACTTCACTCCTGGGCTTTCGAAATAAAATGTAAACTTCAGATAAACGTATGTGACACGAACTGTGTGTGTGTGTGTGTGTGTGTGTGTGTGTTTGATTGATTTGATTTGATTTGATTTGATTACTTCATACACCGACCCAGCCGCCTCGAAGGCCGCTATGCGGGAATAACGTAAACCGCCACACAACGCACGCCGCCACACAACGCACGCCTCTACAAGCAAGCAACCACCCAAGGAATTCCACCAATTTCTCAACCACCCATGAATTTATTTAATTTGAATTAAAAATATATATCTAGTAGAAGGAATAGATCATATAAAAATGTATAGTTAATCCAAAAATCTAGATGGAAGTCGAATAATGCGGCCACAACGTGATAATTGCGGGGTGGGCGAAGAAGGAATTGACGGCGACGTGGAGGAACTGCTAGAAGAAGTAGGTCGTAGGGAGCTTGCTGATAGGCGTGTAATTGACTGATTACCGGATTGGGAAGGTTGTATAGGGTTGGCCTGGTTAGATTTTTCGCCAGGCCCCTGGCTTCGTACGGCCTTTGTAGGGGATTTGGCTGACCTGGCTGATCTGGCGGCGGCAACGAGATTTTGATCTCTAGAAAGCTTTAACTCTCTAGTAGCTTGCTGAGCAGCTTCCTTATCAGTCTTCTTTCGCTCAGCAGCTAGTTTACGAGCAGCCACGCGAGCAGCAACCTCAGCTTTTTGTCTCTCTCGCTTCTGAGCATTAGCCAGCCTAAGAGCTCGAGTTGCAGCTTGCTTTGCAGCTTTTACGATCGCTTTCTCTTGACGTAATATATCCTGTTGAAGCTTGCCTGCTGCTTTTTCAGCAGCCTCACTAATCTTAGCAGCCTCGTCGGTCTCAAGCTGCTGACGTGCTGCCGCAATCCTAGAAGGTGAAAAGAATTGAGCAGCACGCGAATTCTCTTTATCCACAAGACCTAGAGGCTTTCCACATTGGCGGCGCTTCTTCTCCTTTCGTAAAGCTTTGTATAGAAGCTTATTTTCATGCTGCAAAATCTCTTTTTCAAAAACTAGTCTTTCACTAGCATGAATGATTTTTCGGAACCCAGTAGAGATTCTTCGCCGTTGATTTAACTTCTTAACTGCCCGTCGCAGTCCTCGTATGGTAGTGGGTGTGACTGGCTCTGCTGTGACTGGAGTGCTTGGTCTAGCAAGCTTGCTAAGCACCCGATCTGGTGAGAGAGGATAAATGCCAGTAGCAGCAAATCCAGACTCTATATTTGACTTCGTGACAGCTTGCTTCCAGGCGTTGTGGAATAATAAAAAGAAGTTGCGTTTTTTAATGGATACACCTCCCATTGCTGAGCGTAAGAATAAATCCACCTGCTGAGAGTATGCCTTTGATAAAGGTCCAAAAATACCAACATCCAAAGGCTGCAAGCGATGAGTTGAATGAGGCGGCAGTACAGCAAGGATAATACGATTTTGATCAGCGTAGTTGATGAATTTCATATTGACATGAGAAGAATGGCCGTCAAGGATGAGCAGGCGCCAGGCTCCATTCCTAGCCTTTGTATGAGGATTAAAGACCCGTTGCAACCAATGTAATCCATATTGATCACTGCTCCAGCCGTTCGGGGAGGCAGCAAAAAAGACCTCATGCTCTTTAGAATCAAAATCTTCTAGCCACGTATCTTGCAAATCCCCGGAGTCTGACTGATATATAAGACCTGGCGGCGTTGACCTTCCACTGGCTGATATGGCGGCTAGCAAAGAGATGAATTCTCTACTCCCATCCTGAATCGTGCCTAGCAAGCTCCCGCTCTTAAGCTGCTGTACAGAGACTATTCGCTTGCTGATTTGCATGACGCCCATAAGAAAGCCCTTCTCATCAAGATTCCACGTATTAGATGGTCGAATGTTGAATTTTTTGACCTTTTCGTCTAGCTAAGATGCTCAAGCATTAGCAACCCCTCATTAAATTGCAGGCAATGTAAATAAAAATCAATCAAATACAAGCTGGAAAAAGTGCTGAAAATACTCAGACTTATCAGCTCTCTTGCGTTTTTGATCAATTGCTCGTAAATATAGGCTTTTGATGCGATCCTTGTGGCGTTGACAAAATCTAGAGATCCAATGCTCGCCAATCGGCTCCTGAAGGATTTCTTCAAATAGATTTTGAAGAATTCGAGGTGTAGGAGGAAAGCCACGGTCCGTAAGACGATTTATATATCGAATAAGCTCTTCCTCTTGAGAGTTCGTAAGTTTCTGTCTATATAGGGAGTCGGCAGTTTCTCGAGACACTGATTTGCCCGTAACGCGTCGCATAAGCGTAGTTCGATGAATTCCGTATTTTTTTGCAACAGTAGTATAATTGCCAGCCTCTTGCGAAAGGAATTCAGCCACTGCGAGCTCTACAGCTTCTTTGGTTGGCATGTTGTAGATGATTGAAGGTGGAAGGTTGGGTTCAAAAATCGGCTTTTTGGGGCGTGCGTTGTGTGGCGGCGTGCGTTGTGTGGCGGTTTACGTTAAGCTAGTCCTAATCCGTCCAACGCCCGCAAAACTTAAAGAAATCACTAATTACAAGATTTTGATTAAATCACTGCACAGGTGGTGGCAGCCACCTGTGTGGTGCCTAAGAAGAATTGAGTGAATAGATATAAGGAAATAACATAAGAAAAGACATTGGTTGTCAGTGAATAGATATAAGAAAATAACATAAGAAAAGACATTGGTTGTCAGTTGGATTTTGCTTTGTAGCTGTCATATTCTTCTTACCTTACCCACACACATTGCTGCAGCGCGAGCTATTGAGTGCCTGGAAACAATTAAGAACTCATTGCTTGACAGTTTGATCCTGTAAACTCCCAAATTGCCCAAGAAGTTTGATTTTGAGCATAAAATTGATGACTTGAGTCATCATATCTGAATTTGAAAGCATTTTCTGAAGATCTGTAGTTCTTTCCTTTACTCAGAGGTCCCTTCAGAGACTTATGTGCTTGATACAGTTAAGCAGTACATGTGCCACTGTCTGCTTTCCTTTGCTGCATTCACATGTTTCATTCTCAACTTCTAAGACCTTTCTTCTGCATAGAAAATGATATAGTCTGATGTTATCTGTGTGCAGCTGGATTAGAATACTTGACAGAGATTAAATCAGCTTTAAGTAAAGTCTAAAAATGTTCTTGCTGAGTTCTCTGACTATTCAGAAGAGATCTTATTTTCATTTCTCATGTTGCCAGGTTTCCATCCAAGTCATTTTCATTTAAGTTCTTAGTCTAGTCTTGAGCAGCTTCAATGATGTCTGAATGATTGCTGTCTATATCAATTAATCAATGTTCATCTGAACATTTTGACCTCATGTATTTTTTGCTAGCCTTCAGCCTGTGGCCTTCTTGACCATCATGTTTGCTTGCTCATTCTCTGATATACTCTCATGTGCTGATATTCATCTTATTTCAACCTGGATATCACTTCTCTAAAGTTGATTCCAGATTTTCACAATTTGCTCAAGAATTTATTAATCATTGATTTGAGAGTTATGAATTACTTAAATTGCTATCTGACTGTCTGAGAAGATAATAGTATCTTTGTTCAGAGTTTGAGCTATGAATATAGCTGTATGAATTTCTTTGAGTTCAGCTAGATAGACTATTGCTCTGATTGCATTTTTCAAATATATCTTTTCTGTAAAGTTAAGATTCTCAAGCACTGCTGAGACATTTATTTTGTTGTTTATGATACTTCTATCTATATATATTATCAGCTTGTTTTGTGCTCTTAGTTCTTTTAGTTGTTTCTTATCATTACTCTTTCTTGCTGCTTCTTTATTCTCTATACATGTCTTTGATAATTTTCATCAAAGTGAAATTATATAGAGCTTTCTGATTTTCAGATTGTCAATCTCTTCTCTGTTAAGAGTCTTCTAGCATCAGTGTTCATATCATTTCAAAGATGTTCATTTTATTGACAGAGATTTTCAGTTATTTCTGTAGCTCTGCCAGATTTTCTCTTTCTAAATTTTATTTAAAATACTTTATTGTGAGGTTGTTTGAGTCTTAGATATGCTTCAGCTGTAATTCTTTTTAAGTGCAGTTACAGTGATGAAAGATGAGTCTCAATATTCAGTGCTGATTTAGAAACTGTTTTGAATACATCTGTGATGATTTTGACTGTTTTTCTTTGCACAGTTTCAAGCTTGCTGAGTAGTACTGATTTATAGTTGAGTGTATTTTCAACTGATGCATATCATGTTGATGCTGCAAATATCATCTGTGATAAAATAACAGTCTTGTAGATATTTCTCAGATTCTTATATTCTGTATCTCAGATAGATTCTATCAGACTGATAAGAGCTTTCAGAGTTTTGATT